TGCACTCATGCATACTCATGTTATATGATACGTGTGTCGACAATGAGAGTGAGGCTCGGTCACATTAGGCTCGTCTGTGTATTTTCTCTGACGTATTTTTAAGAATTGGAGATTTGCAGTTGGCACTGGAGACAATATTGAACAGATTTGTCGTGAGCACAATACGACGGTCTGTATTTATCTTGTGTTTTTCTAATGTTGATGACCACTCAAAGTACAGTTTTACCATCCACCCAGTCACACACACATTTATACACATCATTCAAACACTGCTGGCACATCTGGGGTTCAGTATCTTGCTCAAGGACACTTCAACCTTCTGGTTAGAGGACAACCCGCTGGACATCCTGTGCCACAGCCACCCCACAATGCAGTGCACAAGATGTCCATTTTGTGAACAAGTTACAGTTTTTTCCTGAAGTGACAAATCCTGTCGTGACACTTTGACTTTTGATACACATCCACCCAACTCTTCTTTTTAAAAAGAGAAAAACAATTTTGTTGATGTGATACATCATTGAATGTCTTAATGGACGGGGATAAAAATGATTATTTTATCTTGCTGTTCGATCTGCACCTTGGTTTACATTTGGACGACTGCTACTTTCGACCCAAAACTCTGTATTTCATTGAAAGTTAGTTGGACTGTGGATGCTCAGAACAACTGTTTCTCCAATTGACAGTGGCTCTCCTCTAAATCAGTGCAGATGTGGCCTTATATAGTAGAATATGGGGGTGTAGAAATAAATGGCTGGTATTTGTTTACTCTTCCCATTCACTGTCCTCTCGTGGCCTCATATCACACGTCTGAGGCACAGTCGAGGCTTGCGTTCTCTAAATGCCTGTGATTCTGATCAGCATTTACATTTTCTCGCCTCTTTGGCCTTTATTCTGTGTGTTGTTATTACTAAAAAGCTCCAGAATATCAATCTTTCCTCTCGCTCTGTCTGTCCCCGCCTTTTCCTCCGTCTGTCTCTCTCGAGCTCGCTTGCTTGCTCTCTCATGCTCTCAGGCTGAATGTCTGGCAGGATGTCAGCTATTGATTTATACAGGCAACATTTTAGCAATGATGGCGGCTTATGGGTTGCGCCAAACAGAATACAACAAACAGGAGATCAGGTTTCAGACGAGTAGGCTGGCAGATGGGAAGAGGAAGAGAAATGACAGTAACCACTACTGTATAAATACAACAAAGACAAGACTTATATCACTTTAATAGTAATGAATATTTGGTTATAAAAGTGGAGCAATGGAACAAACACATGCTTGTAAGGAGCAGTTATTGGATATCGCCTGGACTCACTGTAAACAGGCTTCCTTTCACTGCATGGATGTGGGTCATGTGCAGGAACTTGTTCGCTATTAAGTTACAATTTTAGATGATTATCAGCAAAGCCCACAAGCTTCACAATTATTCTAAGAGCACACAGGTGAACGATAAATGTAAGTGCACCAAGAAAGTCAGGCCTTCTGAGAGCAGAAGTAACTTTAAGATGAAACTACACTAAAAGAAATCTTCAAAACTCTTTAAAACATTAAATAATCATGACAACCTGAGCAAGAGTCAATGTTTAGGCTCTTACATCGAAGTACCACTCCTCAATTATCAGCTTTTTCATGACTGTGTTAGAGTTATTTCATCAATGCAACATTGTGCGACATCAATTCAACTACATTAAACACATTGAAATTCTATTTTTCCGCATTGTTTTTACGTGGGATTAATTATGAGGAGCAGTTTCCCTTCGCTTGAGGTTTTACTGCTGCTTTTTTAATCCCATTATCTTGTTGACTACTTCTGCAATGGTTTAATGGCACCCAATCAGACTTGCAACTCCAACTATTGTCTCCCAGTAATGGATGGAAACGTGCATTAAATTGCATTTTTTGTATTTTGCGTAAATATTGTGGAAAATCTTTTGAAATTTGCATCACATTTGGTTGGAAGCTTGACGATGATACTAAAAATCTATAGCTTGACAAATGACATGATAGACATTTGGATTTCACAGGTTACTAACAATCCCAAGGATGACATGCAATATACTGCAAATTGTGCTATTCAAATGTAGATGAAGATTTGGACCAGTGAAGCTCTAGTGAGATTCAGTAAATTTGTCCTGAAACCATTTAAGTCCAGCACCTCTCAGTTGAATGTGGTTTGCTTGTTGAACAGAGACTGTTGCTCGCTGAGTCACACTTGACTGTTTGTGGTCTCACACTTAAACCATGCATTTAGGCATGTAAAGAAAATGTGCAGCCATACCGGCATCTTATTAAGAAAGTCCTTCTTTGCTTTTCTAGGCAGTCATGAAAGCACAAACTTATTTAAGCACACACATGCACATACGCACATGTAGAATGTATTTTGGCTCTGATATGTACCCTTGCAGAAACGAAGTTTAATAAATAAATAAAGGGGAGGAGAGAAAAGCTCTGAAAAGTAGCACTTAAACAATTATTACCCCCTTGTTCCGCTGAGGCTACTACTTAATATTTGATGACTCCTTTCCTTTCCTCTGGCCGTCCTCTTCCTCCTCCTCTTCCTCCTCCTCTCATGTCTTCTCTTTTGTTATTCCTGCCAATGAAAAGGTCAGGACCCCCTATTTGATCTGGGTTATTTAGCGTCAGGATAAATAGGACCCTGTGTCACCTTCTCAGTACGATGTTCTATTGATTCTGAACAATATTCTAACAGATCTCTAACTTGGACATTTGGATATTCATGTACAGATTTACAGAGAAGCACAAGATTGATCTTTATTAAATCCAGGTTGCTTTCACCAGCATTTTGCAGAATGGTCTCTTGTGAATTTGTGACCAGGCATGTTTCAAGGTATGTTCGAACAAACATCTTGAATATTTGACTTCCGTGACCTCTCTCTGTCTGTTTGCTGCCTTTTGAACACATGAACCCACATTCACCTTTGGTCAACTCCTCATACAAGGAATGCTGAGTGCATGGAAAATACAATTTCTCACTCTGTTAGACCTGCTGTTCAGTAATCTGAATATTAAACCATACAATCTTTAAAGATGTGGTGGAGGGTCTAATGAAAGAAGAAATTGAGAAACATTACGTGATCCAGCAATTTTGACCCATTTCCCTCTGGCTCTGTGCAGAGTGTATGTCAATGGACTGGGCATCAACAGCAATGGGTTTCACTATTTTCCACTGTCCTTTCTGTGTTTTTAACCATGTGTAGCCTCCGACAAATGCAACACACTTTGCTGATACATCAAGTTAATGACGTTACCTCTCTGTGAATGCTAACGTCGTCAGTTTCCTCTGTTAACTTTACTAAATCCCTCCGTCCCTCTGTCCTGCACATTCTTCCACCTCCTCATGGACTTCCTTCCTGTCTCAGTTTATTAAGCTCCATCTTCTTCACTAAAGACAGACCACTAAGACTGCATTTGTCGGGGGAACTACCCACACATGAATATATATATATACAACTTTTATTATTGCACAGTGCAAAATAAACAGGATGTGGAGTCTTTGCAATGGCTCTTACACTGGTATCATATACATGGCTTCAACTAAATGATGTATTCCTGTTCACTGATGTCACTGTCAGATGTAGAAGCTTGCAAGTCACTTATTTATTTGTTTAAATCCTATCAATGAGTTGGGAGGGGGGGTATGGTGATGCAAAACGTCAGCCAGCACACACAGCTACAGGATTGGTCGCCCCATTTCTTATTTCATCTCTTATTTATGTTATGTTTTGTTTTAATGTTCACCTTCAGCTTTGTTTTGTCTTATTGCATCAACCAAGAGATAGATTGTGCCGTAATGATTTCATACATGATAACACGGTCTGGGGGCTCTTACCATCCAATGACTTGGTGTTGTCCCTTGTAAGAGCAGAGCAGTGTTGAGTTATGTAGTTAACACTAGATGGCAGTCTTGGCTTGAAACCTCACATTGTGTGTGTGTGTGTGTGTTTCTGGTTCTGCATGGTCTCAACTGACAGTTTGTTGACAGTGACGAGAGATAAAGCTCTCTCTCTCTCTCTCTCTCTCTCTCTCTCTCTCTCTCTCATACTGAGCGTCATTCTGTGGCAGCAGTGTTTGGCCTGGTTCACCACATTCATCAGTGCGCTGACGTGAGGTCATGTATCTTATATGAAACTGATATTATCCCTGCGTCCTTTTATCAAAGCTTTTTTTATCACCACACTGACAAACCCTGACAGATTTTGCTCCAACTTGAAAGTTGCATTCAGGCTCATCTTATTTTCTCAAACTAGACACACTGTACACGCCCTAATATCAAGTTTATCTATTCAAATTTTCCGTCCAAAAGATCTGCAGATAAATTTAGAATAAAAATGATCCCAAGTTGCTAATCAACCTCACTACTGCACCAGCCATCCTCCCTCTGATATCATCTCTCCCTGCTTCAACGGACCATGGGTGAGGTCTATTTGTGGATATCTGTGATATCCAGACGTAAGCAGGTCTCTGTCACGCACGGTTTGTTCAATGGTCTGAAGAATGCTCAAGTGAACGTACTCATCTTACTTTTTGTCTGACCAACAGTCAAAAGCCCCAAGTTGAATTTACTTTCATAGAACACTGTCAATCATAAACTGTGTAGATGGATGACCCGACAGCTCCCCATAAGTGACGTATCTCAATTTCCTATATTAAATAATTATCAATAATGTTATGTATAAATTCAGCATCTTTTGACATCTTCGCTGGCGTCTACGTGCATGACCCTTTTTCCGAACTTGAGATATTTTTATTTTATTTTATTTTTCTCTTTTGTGTCTGTTGCATGTTAGAAACTTCATCAACACGCAGACTCCCTGGCTGTAAATCTTACCAGACATTTTCACTTTGTGTTCTCACACGACTCATTTGGAGATTTGCCGGACATTATACCATAGGGTAGGTTTTGTCAGCACACCCCATTAAAACTTTCAGGACAATGTCCGGAGTTCAGTACTCGCCTGAAAGCAGCTTTTGAGAGCTTTCTCTCCGGTTTAAACCTTCCCGCTCCGGCAGCCCTCGCTGTCCATCAAGCTTTTCCATCTCTCCCCCGGGTAAACTGTTGGAAGTGTCGGAGCTCTTCACCCTTTGACCCCGGCAGCGCCTCTAATCTGCGCGGAGGAATGAGAGGCATTCTTCAGCTGCTGCAGGAGGTGGAGGAGCTGCCGGTGGGAGGGGAACTTACGACGTAGTAGGGACCCAGTCAGTCAGTGAAGTTTCCAGCGACTCGGCCATCACGGGCTGGAGCTGTCCTCCCTGAGATGAACGCACTCGGCGGCTGCGGAGGGGATTTACGCGGGGAAAGAAGGCGGTGATCGCGGGGGGGGTTTAGTGGAGCGCGGTCCGGATCCGGATCATCCGAATATGGGTCAGACGGCCGTGTCCTCTGTGTCCCAGACCGCGGGCGGTGAGTGTGTGTTTCTGTGCATGTGTGCAACATGTCTCTCTTTCACGTACACACATACGCATTCCGCTATCTTCATCCAGGAAGTCCTCTTTTTCGTTTCTGTCGAAGCTTTGCGCACAAACAAAGCGCGCGGTGGTTTCCTGCCAAAGGGAAGTGAGTGAGCTGAGTTTTTAAAATGAATTCAAAACTGTCTGGCATCACCGAGCGACTCTTGTGAGGGTGACACAGATTCAGATCGTGAATCAGGGCAGAGGAGTCCAGCGTTTCACTCGTGTTTGTGTACTTCAGTTTGACACAGGTCCACATGACCTGAGGCTTTAAACCAGTTTCTTTACCCAGAGAGAGAACAGAGGATCATCGAAAGCCCAGGATTTACATTTAACTCACTACCAGCACCTTCATTACCGAGAAAATGTCTAGTTTAGTTGAGTTCAGACGTTTTTAAAAGGTAAAATACAATATGATAGAATGGATATCAACAATACAAATGGCAAAAACACAATAAAGTAAACATGCAGTTACTTATCTTAGATCAGTATTGCAGGAGTATAATCAACATGCTTGTTTTGTCCTCCCCTCTTCTGTGCTAAATCTACTAAACCTATATAAATCTACTCTCCCTTCAGTGTACATCCTTCCTTTCCATAGCAGTTGTCTTCTCCTATTACAGATGTCAACATGCTTTCCATTTTCTCTTCTTGCCTTTTGCGCCTCTCATGAATGATGAATCTTATCAAACTGTCTAAACTGAGATTTTTGCTTAGTTTGATTTCATCCCTTAGTCAATTCTCCAGAATCACCTCCCAATTTAATGCTCATACCTTTGAGATTGTTGCCAGAATAACATTAGCTGCGTCTCAAGCTCAAGTCAATTCTCTCCTGGACATACACAAGATTTCTTCACATCGGATGAAGTGAAAACAAACGATGGAGCTTTGAGTACATTGAATGAAAACCTGTATGCACAGAAGACTACATGCATATGTGGCACAATATGCTGAAAAATCCCAGATGGAGCTCCAGCCATGGTTGACCCAGAAAACGGAGCAATGGTCAGAAAAGAAATCAGTCCTCTAAGTCTTGATCCAAGTAATATTGCTCTAGGCCTATGCAGCTGTAAAATACATTGGGAGTCTGTGTACACGTTCCCTGAAACCCTATTACAACCATCATTTCCACCATTCATCAGAAGCAGAAAGCTAAACAGTCGCCAGCTCAAGGAGCTTATGAGTGAGCATTAGTCAGGATACAAAGATCTTTACCTACTTACTGATGGAGAACTGTTCTTCCTAAGAAAACTACACTGGAGCTATGATAGTTGATATATTTACCCTTTAGACCAGAAACCTCATCAGGGGATCAGTGTTTTCAGTGTGGGACCGTATAGTCCTTGGTCTTTCTGTCTGTGAGTCATGACTGTAAATATTTACCATCCATCCAAATTTTGATGGGAAATCTTCAAGGCAGTGAGGTAGAGGAAGTGATGAAGGACGCCAGATGAAAACAAAACTGGACCTTTTTATAACTCTGTCAGCATTTACAGTCAAACCTAGAATGTTTTGTAGCGCACTTAAGTCAACATGCACAGGAACCTGTGGCTATAATAATGATGTATATGTTCCGCATTGCTGTATAATGAGTTACACAATGAAGATGTGCTGTGCTTTGAATGCTGAATCTACAGTTCTGAGAGCAGGAGCTGGGGATTAATCCTGTTTGGGTCTTACAGAAAGATCATAACATGAAGCTGATATCCGGTGAGCGCTGACGACTGATTATTCTATGTTAAAACACTTTAAAGCTGTGGTTTCCTGTTTGATTTCCTTCTGGTCTGTCACTATTGACCTAATCCGAGCTGCTCGGTCCTGGGAGGATCATGAGTTGAGGCTGTACTGTAGCTCTCTGTCCCACATTGGACAGAGATTTGGAAGAAATGACCCAAGTGTTAAAACTGGAGCTAATGCCCTGCATCGCCCCTCCCTCCGCTCTCGTCCAACACCTCCTGTTGCCTTGTTTTCTTCTTCTTTCCTTCTCTACGCTCCTCTCTCCCATATTTTCTTTTTGCCCCACCTCAGTTTCCACCTCTCCCCTTCTCTCTCTTTTCCCCCCCTCTCTCTCTCACCCACTCAGTTCCTTTTCCTCCATTCGTGATGTCTGGTTCTTCCCTCCCTGGTGACTTGCAGAGAAGGAAGGAAGCCTCTCCCTTTCCCCTTCTTCTCAACACATGTTCCTGCCATAACGTCGGCAAAAAAAAAAACCCTTGCTGGCTTTGTCACAATACACCACCACTTTATCCGGGAATATTGTATCTGACAATATATGACAATGAAAACATGGAGAAAATAACAAATCGCCTGTGTGTCAAAGCGCAATATTCTCAGTTTATTGGAAAAAGATTCTGTGGTATTAGTTTCCCTTAGATTTCTGCGGTGTCTCCAGTTGTGTTTCTGATCTTCCCGTCCACTTCCACAGCTGCTATCCAAATCCTGATTCAGCCTTCTAGGATGACAGTGTGAGTCAGTAGTTGCAAGAAAAACACGTTGGTATGAAATCCAGTGCGCAATCATGGAGTCGTGTCAGCAGTTGTTATGTGTAATAACATCCCTGGGTTAAACTGGGGTGGATTTAAGCCACATTGTTGTAATTAAAAAGCTGTAGTCAGCATTATTTTGGTAAAAGTTTATTGCTTTTCTAAGATGAATCTGTCTCGCCGGGAAAGCAGAATTACCGTGAAGCTCTAATGTTTGCAGTTCCTGTGTGTGGTGAATGGTTTTTAATTTAATTCACTCAGGTTTGTTATTCAAATTCATTTCTCAAATACGACAAATATCTCCCCGTGGCCCGATATCCATCAGTCCTGTGTGCGCTCCACTCTGCAGCTCGAGCTCTGTGGGAAACTGACCCACGTTATTCCTGCCAGTCAGCAACAGGGGGCGTTCATGTTCATGCACAGGGGAAGCAGAAGAGTAAGAAGAAGAAGAGAGGCAATGTGGGGGTGAAAGGTGGTAAAACTGCCACATGTGGTGAAATTCACACATGGGAAATAAACTCCACAACTGCATGAACAAACACCAGGTTCATTAACTGCTGGGCATTAGCTCGGTTTAGGCAGGACCTGCAACTACAGTAACGTGATTTGATTGGCTGGTCCTGGGTTGCTGCTTGAAAAGTTGAGCTTTTTCTAAAGTTCCACCAAAAGCTGTGTGGAGCAATGGAACCATGAAGCAGTTGTTCATGATGTCATCACATTCAAATACGCAAAGTTTCCGTCGAAGCCTCCAAAAATTAGTGGGAAGAAACTGAAGCACTGGACTTCAACCTTGCGCTCGTGTCGTAGTTCTCATCAGCCCCAATGGATGAGGAGTCATGGTTTACATATAATTTAGTTTGACAAACTCTTCAACTTTGTCTTTTTATGCTTTGAACTTTGAACTAAGAGTGCTTGTTTACTGATGGTGGTCCATGCTGTCACTTCCTCTGTCACCAACTTTAACACATTTTCGGTGAATGAACACGTGCTTATTCTCAGTTCAAAGCCATCCTCTATTAAATACTGTTACACCGTTGAACTGATTTATATAAACAGACCTCAAAAGTCAAATCAACATAGTTATTTCAATGGCAATTATCTGAAATTTTACATAGACATGTTGCTAAGTGATTTTATGTAATTAAACATTAATATGAACACATCTTAGTCCATGCTTATGGCAGCCCAGGGCGTGACTGTATATGTGATTTGCTGACTCATCAAATTGGGAGATTTTAGTGACTGAACGTTTCATTGTCAATGTATTGTGAAACTTCATGTTTGTGACATATAAGACCACTGAAATATCAATTTTTCTGTATTTCTACATGACACACATACGTCTCAAACCTTCCCCTTTTCTTAAAGTGAGCTTCTTCTCACTGTCTGGCACTCTAAGAAAGAAAACTTTGTTCAAGTCCACAATAATCTTTGTTTTGCTCCTCTCCTCTCTTTCCTCTTCTCTACAAGTTATAATTTGGACCATTGTCCTGATTTGGTTCCCACTAGATGTGTAATAGTCCGACTAATGGTGATGATAATCGCTTTTTCTGATCTTCCCATCATTAGCTGCTGAAATGCACCTATTGTGATTTGATATCAACACAGGAACAGGAACTGAATGTGTGTGTCTGTGTAGATGTGTGTCTGTTTGTGTGAGAGGATTAAATTGGTGTCGGGGGAGAGCAGGTTCTGGCCTCAGCTCTGCACTTTTCCATGTCTTTGTGCTCTTAATTCCCATGTTGTGTTGTCAGGGTCATAATGAGCAAAATCTAGATGGGAGCAATTATCGTGCCGACAATTATACATGACATCGGTATCGAGGTCCTGCATGGGGACTCACTCGCTCGACCAATTGTTAGTCCGTCTCAGTCGTCGATCAAGATCTTTCACCTCGTTTTTATAGCGTCAAAGATCGAATTACAACCAAACTTAATGAAGTACCAGAAAAATAAACACTAGGACAAACATCAGGGTGATGAGAACTTATTGAAAATGTATTTGCCTTTTATTGGCGCATGTCCCATCCACAACATGGAGGTGGCATGACTCATACGGCAACCAGCCACCAGGGGGCAAACCAGATGCTTTGGCTCCACTTTTGGGAGCTGTGTCATGTCATCCATTTTTATATACAGTATATGGCAGATACATTGGTATTTAAATCTCCATATATGATGCAGTGCAGTATGTTGTTTGTCTGACTTTGTTTCTATGGGAGCCTCTTAAACAGAATTGAGAAAACAAACCTATCTTATGTTTCTGTCAGTATTGTTGAGCTGAGATCACCAGTCAGTCTGTGTGAAGCTTTGAATCATATCCTCTCACATAATTCTTCACTGAGGAAAAAACGGACATAAATATTATTACTTAGTTCATTTCTGCTGTCACTGTCAGCTGTGGCACTCTGTGTGCAGCACCCTTAAACCAAAACAGCCAAATGGAATTCAGCCATCATTCATTTTATACATATAATCCCTGTGCTTTTGAATGAAGCGATTTAAGGTCACATGATAAACGTTTTAACCCTGCTGGACTCCGTTCACTCAAGCTGGAGTGAGTCAGCAGTGTTGTGTATCTGAAAAAACAAAAAGCTTCTTCAGTTTGCATGTGAGTCGCACACCTCCTCTCTTTCCTCTGTAAGGTTCCGGTATGGTACACACGCTTGCACCCACCCATGCACACACTTGCACACACACCATTCACTCACTGCAGTTTTCAAGAGGGATCGAAGCACATCTAATCTTTCTACAGGAAGAGGAGGAGTTGTGGAAGGACAGGAATCTCGCCAACCAACACACACACAAGAACACACACTGTAATTACTGTACAGAAACTGGGTTACAAATATTCCTGCTTTCATACTGAGGGCTGAGTTGTCATAAAGAGAACGATTTAAGTCAGCAAGCATCCTTTTGTCTGTTCTTACCCTGATTGTATATTTCTCCTTGTGTGTCTTCTAGTTGATGGGCTGGAGAAATCATCATCGTTGGCCAGCTGCGATGTGGTGGTGGACAGTGCCGCCAATACCCAGAATGCCCCTGCAACGCGGCAGCAGCGAGGTAAGCTGTCGTCACTAGGGAAACTGTTCAAGCCCTGGAAGTGGAGGAAAAAGAAGACCAGTGACAAGTTCCAGGATCTTTCCAAAGGTAGGACATCTCCGTTTGGGTTTTCTTTCAATGACACTGTATGAACAGCGTCCTCTGATTTGTTCTCCTCAATCGAGTGTCTGTGCAACATCATGGCTTACATTACTGGATTAGTGCTGAACAGAAATCTGAACTGGAGCGGTGTTGCTCCCTGAAGAGCTTTAAAAGGAAAAGAGCGAACAGTTTACACTCGCTGATTTATTCGTGAAAGGTTGGCTGCCAGGTGTGTCTGAGCCTTCATCTGTCTGCAAGTTTCACAACTCCACCTCCCTGTAGTTAGTTTCAGGCTACTGTCCACATGTGAACTCACCAAATGAGAAGTGGTGCTTCAAGTTCCTTTTTTTTTTTTTTTTTTTTTTTTTTTTGCATCACATCTTTGAGCCCTGAGAGTTTTCAATGTTTCTTCCTTTCTCATCACGTAGGAGCGTCAACTGAATTACTAGGTTGTTTCCTCTGGGTATGGGGTTAGTTGCTGCTCCAAGTGAAGGAGATAAAGTATCGTGGATACAAGCAATCAAATTAAGCTTTCTCCATTAGAGATTGGATGTGGGCTCGGACATCTGGATGGATTGGTTCACATCAGTAGCCATGGTGATGGAGTTTAGGCATCTTTTTAGGAAGCCTCCCAGCTGCCATTGATTGGAGGTTTCTTGGGCACATCCACATTCACTGGAGGGATTATACAGTATATTACATCTGGCTCTGAAACACCTCTGGAGGAAAGTGTTGCTGGGGAGAGGCATGCTGGAACACCTGCTTACCCTGCTGCCACTGCAACACAACCTTTAACAGCAAGAGGATGGATGGATTTGAATCAGTGTGTTCTCTTTTTGATCTTAAGCTGATGTAACTGTGCTGGTGTGTGAAAAACAGTGTTGACTGCTGATTATGACTTTGCTAAATGGTCACTATGGATGGTGAAATAACTTTATACTTATGCAATTCAAATCTTGATTTTGAGCTCATTATTTAAACCATGTTTGTGGAAGTGAAAACAAACTGGACACTAATAGGATTTAACATTGCTCGGAGCATTTGGCATTATTTTGCCTTTGTTCATTCTTATTTGCGTTTGGGTACTGAACAAAACCACTGTGGGCTTTGTGTTTAGGGCTTTCTAACAATTGTGTCCTGATAATCTTGAAAATGTCCCATAAAAGAATGAAAAGGTTCTTGATTGTTCCTCAGAGCCCAAGTTGATAACCTCAAACTCCTGGTTTCATCAAAATGACAAAGATGTTCAGTTTACTATCATATCAGAGTTTAAATCAGCATTTTGGCTTGAAATTAAGGATTAGTTCCTCACTTTGATGGCCACAGATTATTCTTTGTTCATTAACCAGTGAATTATTTTCTCATCTGAAACAGAATTAACTCTAGTTCCCCATCCATGTGGTGCTGTTGTGTTGACTGCGAGGTTATGTTTTCGCAATAAGAGGAGGAGCATAGTGCAGCTGTTGTGCAATGCTTTGGCAGAGTGCTGTGTTAGTGTCTGTAACAGATCAGATGCAGGAAAACCAAATGGAATCCCCCCCACTGAATCACACATTGACTATATGACCGTGTTCATCCTTCAGTTCTAGAGAGAAAAATCTCCACCAGACAAACGAGGGAGGAGCTGATCAAGAAAGGAGTTCTCATCCCCGACCAAGGTTTGTGTCATCATTCACTCACTCGTTATTTCATTCATGTGTTCAATTCATTTGTGAAATATTCCTTCCTCAACCCCACGTTGCAAGCACGAGTGAAATGCAGTGTAGTAATGTTGCTTGTTCAGAAACATTACTAAAATGCAAAGGATTTCAGTTACAGTTGTGTCTTTTTTCCTCCTCTAGAGGAACCAATCAGCAGTCAAAATCTCAACGGCCACGCCACATCCAGCGTGACGTCGGAGGAGGTCAAAGTTGACATCGAGTCACCAGAATCGCTGCAGGAGGGAAAGGCCTCTGGGCCCGCCGGCACCGCGGAGAAAACAGGTAACTGCGTTTTTTTTACCTCCATGGGGCTGTTGTCAAGGTGAATGTTGTCTTTAGTGCTCCTGGATGATGTCACGACAGACGTGATGTTCAGTCATCTGAGGCCCGGTATGGATTGTTGTTAAAGTCTGGGAGGGGATGAAAGGACAGATAAGTGGTGTCGTAGAATCCTCCATCTCTGCTTCAGGTTTGTTTCTCTGCTCTGACGACATCCTTCACTCCTCTTTCAAACCACCTGTCCCCCCCTTACTGAAATATGTGCTGTATGGTACTAATCTAATTCATAGTTGTCGTTTTTGATCATGTGGACATAAAAAGGAACGTAAACGAACATTAAAACAAAAGATTTATGGAAAATAAGATGGAAATAAAATGTGAGATAAAATAAGAGTCTGAAGAATAAAACCACTGAATTTTAACTCACTAAAGAGTTTCTCTTTCAAGTTGCAATAATTTGCTGTTAGTGTTGTAGAGCACGTACGAGAAATCATTTCTGACACAGCCGAGCAGCTACAAACTGTTCGATTGATCAATATGGCTTCAACCTTCCAAACACAAAGTGAAACATGTTACACAGGAATATGAGACTTTTACAGCTCTTCAGAAATTCAATTTCATATACTACAAATAAATGTTGCAGCTTTTTTTAGATCTCAGTCATGGAATGCGTTTGACAGCAGTTTTTCTGCCTGATATTGAATCCTCCGTGGAATCTGACCGGGCCTAATGTGATCACATAGATATTCCCATCACAGGTATTCTCAGTCTGAGCAGAGCAGCATCTGCTAATGCCTCCCTCCCTCTTTTCCCAGAGGAGCCAGGCCACTGCTCTTCCTTCTGATGCTGCTTAAGTGTGGTGCTGTTTTCATCTCCACCCTGTTACCATTGAACGCTGAGCCATTTGTTTGTTCGTGTGTCGATAAACAGACGAACAAACGACCACTGTAAATACAGTGTAAGAACACGCATGTCATCACACTGGAGGTTTGGAAGGTTAATGGGTTCATTCTATCTGTTGATCTGATGGAAAGAGACTTTTCTCCATCATCACTCGCTCTGTGTGCATCATTCTTTATCTTTAACCAGATCTTCTGTCTCCCTGTCTGCTCGTTCATTTGTTCGTCTTTTGCAAAGATTTACATCTTTTTCCTTTCAATCACCTTTTTCTATTTCAGAAATATCATGATTAAAGACATAGAATTACGAGAATAAAGTCGTACTTTTAGGATATTCAAATAATGGTTTTCATAATTTATCAAGAAACAGTAAGATTAATAATTGAAACTCTGGGGTCTCCGTATTGCTTAATCCCTCCCACAAAAAAATCTTTTGTCATGCGATTTTATAACTTTTATTCTCATTAATGTACAGACTTTAATATTTAGATTTTTTTTTTCTCTGTGAATTACGACCTTTTTCTAATTAAACTTTATGTAATATTATGACATTTTTCTTGTTGAATTACTACATATCTTTGTCATATTTTATTATATTACAACTTGATACTCACGGGTCTCACATTTTCTTAAACACGGCCTTTGTACTCCGTCCGACATTTTAACCTCTTAACAACGCACTTCCTTTTCCTGCTTCCCTTGCTCTGCTCAGAGAGGCGAGATACTAAACCTCTCGCCCGGGCAAACCAGGTGCGACCTCATGACGTCCAAGCTAAAAAAACGCACGGTGCCACCCTGCCTGCCTCTTCCAAACCTGCAGGCGGCACTGCAGCCACAACTCGTCACAGGGAGGGGGCCCCTGGGACTAAAAAGACAACTAAAACCACAGGCAAGACTGGCTCCAACACTCAGACTAAAGCTAACCTGAGGGGCACTAACAACACGGGTCGTGTGATTGGTAAGTTCAGCTGGTCGGAGCCTGAAGCCAGTTTGCCTGTTGACGTTCTTCCCTGCCTGCCGCCCCTGCATGGAAACTGTGCTTGTATCAGTGTGTGAAGGGAAGAAGACTGCACCTGGAAACCCCTGTGTTATGTTCACAGTTTTCCATTATGTGTGTACAAACAAGTTTTTCCCTGTTTCTCCCTTTGGATCAAGTCTTTTCCTCATTAGAAAGGATATCCAGTGTTGTTGTTATGACCTCTGTGTGTGTTTACGATAAAGTGGTGAATGTAAAGTAGCCCACAGACCAAAATACTGCACGTGATGTTCATGCAGTTGTTGTTTCTATTTTTCTGTTGCTATAAATGTTTTTTGATTGAATAACATCTGCAGTTCTTCCCTCCCCTCAGGCTCCTTCCACCAGCAAACAAAGACACTATACAGAACTGCTTCACTCAGTATTACCTTTAGTAATCTGTTTTTGTCTTGGGGTCAAAGATGTGATTAGAGATGGTTATATTATGGCTCACAGCGTGTTCTCATAGATCAGTGCCTAATGCTTCAAACAAGATAAACGGTGGAATGCATATGTACTTAATAACAGGGCTGAAGCTATTAACTGATTAGTCAGTTATATAGTAAATTGTCAATGTGAAAATTCTTGAGTGTTGGCTGGAGAGAAAATTAAATCCCTTTGTTTGCTGGGAAATATTGTTTTTTTTAACATTTCACAAATGTTCTGGCATTTTAGATTAGCCTGCATCCAAACACTCACACTCTCCTATTGAGCCAAGACCAAGATTATTAGACAACATGAACAACAATAAACAACATGTTCACAATCTATGTAGATGTCTAAGGTGATTTAAGGTGGACTGTGAGATAAATACTAGAGTAAGACAAAGCAGTTATTTGGACAGAAACACAATCACACCTACATACAGTTGAGGGCTTTTGTTTCATTTTCGCATTTCCTCAGACTGTGGGAGGAAGCTGGAGGAAACTGGAACACCTGGAGGAAACAGAATATTCTATGTTTCCTATCTCACGTCGTCTTTTTCCTGTTTCTTCCTCAGCTAAGTCCTCCCATCCAAAGAAGACAGGAGGCACTGCAAAAACCACCGCCGCCTCCACCTCCACCCCTCGCTCTCGTGCATCTAAGGACGCGGGTGCTGCAGCACAGGCCGAGGGAAAAGATGCAAGGACCAACCGGAAATCATGCACCCCCATACCTCAAAAGGCCACCGTAGAGACTCCCAGTCAGCCTGGGGGGTCAAAGTCCTCGTCCCCTTCCTCAGACACAAAGCAGGTCTCATCTAAAGCCTCAGGCAGTGAGACGGAGGGATCTGCCTCTCAGTCTGCAGACGAGGACAATCACAAAGGTATGGCTCCTGAATCTGCAGTCCATCCTCCTCATGTCAACACTGATACAGAGGAGACTTCCTTCACGGAGACAGAGACCAGCCCTCAGGGGGAGAAACGGGAGAGAACAGGAGGAGAGGAAGAGAAGAGGAAAGGAGAAACAGATTCTGCTGTGGAGAACAGTTCCAGGTGAAAACATAGTTAGGACATGCAAGCTCTTAGTTCTCTGCATGTCATTCCTACATATAGAATATATATCTGTACAGTTGCTCTGATTTACAATAAATCTGTAATTGTATTAAGTTTCTCTCTGATATATCCTGCGTCTCCTGCAGGTCAGCTGAGGGCCAAGCTGAGAAGCCACAGGGCCTGAGTGTGAAAACAGATCAGGCCGAAGTGACGGTGATCCCTGATAGGCCGAGAGACAGCCAAGCTAGTGACTCCGACTCTGATGGTCCAATCCTGTACCGGGATGAGGAGGAAGAAGACGAGGAGGAGGACGAGTACACAAACAGTGAGGCATCGTCGCTCAGTGTGTTATCAATAATGTTGTATTGCTTTGATCCAGGTTTATAAGTCATGTTTTAATCTCACTGCTTTCTAACTCATCAGCAACTGAAAGGACGATGGATAGTGAACATCTGTAGAGACATGCGACCATGTTTCAAGGTTGATTAATGTATTAGCTCATCAACAACCATGAGACAACCGTTAATCTCAGCGTTCAGCTACAGCTCGATTTGATGTTTTTTATTTTTTAGACTTTGAGAGGCCTCGTTTGCTTCATTGATGCTTGATTATTTTCTGCAGCTGATTTCTGTTCAGGTTGTTGTCGAGGCCCTCAGAAGCCTAAAGCAGCTTCTCCGTGTTGCGTCTCTGTTCCAGGTTCTCTGGCGAGCAAGATCCGCCGGCGAGACACGCTGAACATCAAGCTCAGGAACCGACCCAGCAAGAGAGAGCTGGAGGAGAAGAACATTCTGCCACGGAGCTCTGAGACGGAGAGACACGAGCTCCGCCAGCAGATAGGCAGCAAACTAGTCAGGTACACACACACACACACACACTCTCACACACACTCAGCACGCTGTGAAAATGTAGTTGGGTGTGAATATTCATCAGAGACTTGGCCGAGATGTGAGATCGCATTTGGATTGTTTTTCTTTGTAGTTGTGGGCGATGTACCCGTACAAATAATGCACTGTAAAAATCTGTGTAAAATTCTTCCAGCTGAGACAGAGAAGCTGCTGGGAAACAACTATAGTTCACAACAAAAGAAATTGTTGCTCCGAATACTCTTTTTATTTTTCTATTAAACTCAGTGTATTGTTTAATTCATCTGTTCCTCGTATGAGAACATGGTTTTCTCTTTTCAGACGCCTGAGCCAAAGACCCACCACAGAGGAGCTGGAGCAGAGAAACATCCTCAAGCGTAAGTTTCTAAAATACACTATCTCCTGAGGGGAGATGTGATATTTATGATTTGAAGCTTAAATAGTCATATAAGCTGCTTTCAGACCCATGATCCCCAGTTTCTATCCAGTGGATACAACACAGGGCATTAAAGTATTTTCAAGGCGAAATAACTCGATTAAAATGGAACAACATCCACACTTCCAACCATTTGTAGCTACAGTATACTTGTATACTTTATATGTTTAAGACTGAGAATAACGTGTGATCGACCTCAGTAAAGACTCTTGTTGGAGAAAAGAAATTGCAGATCATTTTGGGATCTGTGTTGTCAGGGACTTTGTGACTCGTACATCTTTTAAAACCTTTAAGATTGTGTGTAACGTACAGTATATTATGCCTGAACAAAAATATGTCCACGCACTGTTGCTTTTACCGTGATCTGATGTTAAGTTTTGGTTTTTCTGGAGATGCTTGTTCTCAGAGAAAAAAACCCAATCAACCTCAGCGTTTCATAACTCCAGTCTGTCAGTGTTCAGTATGAAGATCTCTTCATCTACGAAGAAGCACAGAGAGAAAAACAAGTTCTCTTCGCAGTTTTCATGGTTATAGAGACGAGTTGTCTCTCTCTGCACCATGAATCCCAGGCGGCTTGTATTTCAATCTCTGATGGGAAAGAAGTCAAGGATTTTAAAAGTGTGTTGCACTATTAGTTTACTCACATATAAATATACGATACACATGAGGACACAACAAGCGTCTGTGTTACAGATTCAACTCACATGATTCATTCAGCCTCTAGAAAATAATCATCATAATTTCTCCCTTTGGTTTTGATTAAATGAACGCTACTTTAAAACAGCCGATCACTTCCCCCTGTTATAAATATAAGGAGAAGCTTGTTGCAGAGACGTTAGGTGTGAAAATGACTCTGCTCGTTCTCTGCCTGCAGAAAAGAATGAGGTGGAGGAGCAAGAAGCTAAGCAAGAGATTAAAAGGAGGCTCTCCAGAAAGGTACAGTAAACACCAACGACACACACACACATTTATAAGAGCACAGAGACAGAGTCAGTCTATATTTAGCTGCAAATTAGTTTTGCTTGTCCTTATGAGTCACATTTGGAGGCAGAAATTATGCTGCATGGGGTGAAATGAGCCACCCAGTGGACACAGATGGAATTAAAAGGTTTTCTGCCTCTCCAGCTCTGGTGATAGAAGATAGAAATGTTTCAATCAATAAATACAGGATACAACATTAAATCACTGGCAACAAGTGCAAAAAAAGTTAGATGTATTATAACATGAACGCTGGGAAGACGGTATGATCTGACTCCTCTCCCTCCTTTTCTTCGTGTGTGTGTTTAGTTGAGTGTGAGACCCACAGTGGCCGAGCTCGTCGCTCGAAGGATCCTTTGCTTTAATGAGTATGTGGAGGTAACAGACGCCAAGGATTACGACCGGCGGGCGGACAAACCCTGGACACGGCTTACTCCTGCTGACAAGGTACAACAGTTAACAACTTATCGACCTGCTCCTATAGTCCTTGATGCATATTCTATTTTAAAATGCAAGCAGGTGACAGAAGTCAAAGTGAACTACATGGCCAGAAATGATAGATGCTATAACAACCTCCTCTCATCCGCAGAGGTTTTTCAACTGCTGCAGGGATTTGCTCCAATTCAGCCACAAGAGCATCAGTGAAACTGGGCTCTGATGTAGAGACCTGACTCAGAGTCAGAGTTAACGTTCATTGCACGGTGTTGAAATCATTACTAGACGAGTTCCTCAAGCTCAGAAAAACCCTTTTTGTTCCTTTTGTGCACAAAGAATTTGTCATGTTGAAAACTGGAAGGTTTCCTATAACATCATCTGCTGTAGAATGAATATTTATCTTTTCTGGAAATGAACAGTTTGACCCAAACTAAACTGGCTCAGAATACGCAACATACTTTAGATCATGTTTCTGTGCATGAAGTCTGTGCTTATATGAAGAAGCATGTTCCTACAGTGAGAATATAAGTGCACGTATGTACCAGGTGAGTAATGACTGATCCTTATCAATTTCCTCAAAGGAGAAAGAGGCAGTTTCTGTGTCAGGTCTGCCCTCTGCTGTTTATGTCTTGAACTGCACAGCATGTCGAATGTGCACCCAGTACAAATGCAAGAGAGCAGGATACATGCTGTGTGAGGAGAGGGACAGGATTTCATGATACCTTTTTTAAAAAGAAGGATCTCTCTGACAAGTGAAATGCAAGGCTGGATTTTTCAGATGTTTGGTTTCAGAACGCAACAATCCTATCCATTGTTATTATTATTGAAAACAAGAAATCAATATAACTGTGATGTATTTTAACAATTGGCAATTGTGTGTGTGTGTTCTGCCCCCTCAGGCTGCTATTCGGAAGGAGCTGAATGAGTTTAAGAGCCGTGAGATGGAGGTTCATGAAGACAGCAAACAGTTCACCAGGTACTCAGAGCGGTCGATGGCCTCCACCATTTAGCCGAGACTCCGACGATAACTCGCTCTTCATTAGTAATTTATCACTGTAATTTATGCTTGTTATTAGCACACATTGATCAATATTTATATTATTCCAGTCCCCCAAAGCCATTTCCACTAACCACATTAAAGTCATGATATACACACAGGTCGGTTGCAGTTTATTAGCCTCAGACATTGATCTGCAATAAAGTTCAGGTTCAATCTCTCATGTGTCATTAGATCTGCATGACATGGTTTTGTATTGACGTGTTGAACGGAGCAGAGAGGATATGTCCAGTGTTAAATACTAATACACCTTTAAATCCAAATATTTTTATAAAACTGCCCAGCACAAGAAGAACATTTAAAAACTATGAATTATTCCTCGTTCAGAGCGTCATATTTCTTTTTGGTTTGTGCAAATCAACTTTGTGTTGTTCTGCCCCTTTTTTTTTCTCATGCATCCGTCTCATAAATCCACTAGAATAATAACAAGTAGAATCCAAGCACTGTTTAACATTCCATAATGATTAACTTACATTTATCGGCCTTATCTGTCGCTGTAACATTTCAATCAGTTATAAATCTTTGCCACAAACACGACTCCGCCAGGATTCAATCTCTAAAGCCACTTACTCAAAATGGATCTGACTGTTGTTGTGAGTAATAACTGACAATATAACCAGAGTGTCCACAGATGGGACGTTGTGGATCTCTAGCAGGAGACAGTTCCTGGCCTTTGCCCAGTTTCCCACATTTTTATCTGTGCAAATGCTTTGTCTGATTCTTTTATTGTTTAATTTGAACAACTTTACATTTGTGGGGCACTTTGTGACTTCCTCTGTGAAAGGTGGTTTAACTTCAACTTTATTTATCACCGTCCTTGCACTGGAGGCCCTGTCATCATAGGTTCTCAGGTTAGTCTGAGGGATGGAGAGTTGACCTGCGATCTGAGGACCATAGGTTCTGAGGTGGATGACAGGGAGGGTGGAGGTCAGGCTGATTGGTGAAAAGAATAAATATCTTACATTTAGTGAATGTTCATCATAAAATCAGCCCAACGTGATGGTAAAAGTTGTTTTCTTTTTAAGTTAATATTCCAAAACCAAAAAGATATGTTCATGTCACTCTCATGATGAAGCAGAAGTTAGAAGCATTCAAGCTTTGAGCTGGAACCAACAAATGTTTGATATTTTTTAATCCTGAAAACCCTTAAATGCTATAAAATTCGATCTAATTCTATTTTATTTTTAATTCATGAATGAAACCTGTGTTTTCAGATTCCATCGGCCGTAAAGTCGCCTGCTGCCGGACGGACGTCAGCACCACGACCTCTCTGGGGGCCACGGCTCCCAGCAGCCTCGCGGCCCTGCGGACCCTCAGCACACAGCTCAGTCCACTTTACTTGCCCCTGATGTATTTGTGTCCACAGTGACAGCTACAGGTGTGTCTTAAGGCTCTGGTGAAACACACAACACATATCTATAGTTGGAACAGCGGCGCGTAGAACCATTTATTTATTGTATTTGACCAGAGCCTCCTGGGATGTAATTATTTTTTTCATTCACTTCAGGCCTTTCAAGGTTCCCCAGAGGAAAAATTGCCCTCGTAACAATGAATGTGGCTCAAGTGTACTGCAGAGTTTGCGTACACGCTGTGGATTGCCTTGTCATAAACTGCCAAACGGCCATATATGGACATCCTGTTTGAACAGGAGGTGCGAGTGATTGGACGGTTGTGTGCCGATGTCGCTCTGCTCCCATGTGCCTCTCACAGCCGAGTCTGAAATACTGCAGTTCATTTCGTTTTAGACATATTCAAAGTGAAACATTGCCACTAGAGGGCATTATGTCATAAGAGTTGTAGCCTGTGAGGATGCGCAGAGTTTGTAGATGAAGAAGAACTCAGAGTGTAACCGCTGAGGCTGAGGGAGCTGTGGGTTCCTGACGCTCTCACAGCGTAGTGCAATGGAAATCACTCGGAGTAGAGCCGCTTCTAATCACCCAGCACCATCCCTGGTGATACGTGATGATTGTGTACCATCGTTCATCCTGTGTTGAGTCGTTGAACTTGTAGGGGATCTACTGTTCGTGCTTTGACTTCGGTGTCTCATATTTAAGGCCTGCTCAGAGTGATTTGGTGCCAAATAGAAAGCCGGATTTTGATTGCACATCAGTCTCCTACTGGGTGAATTTGTCGTGTGTGCTTCATATGAAGGATTTGTGAATATCGAGGCAGGGAGGGTTTCACCGCCAAATGTCAAATGTGACGAGTGTAGTAAATGATGATTTGTATTTGGCTGAGAACCCAAACCTATAACTTCAGCTGTCAGAAATATTGAAGGACTCACAAAAGACGCTGGCAGAAGAAAAGAAAAACAACAAAACATGATGCTTACTCATCCCCGTCTTCTGAAATTCAACAAACACACTCATTTTTCGTTTCCGTGCGTATTTTGACTAGAAAGGTCAAGTGTTTGAGTGATTTACAGACGGAGCGAGTCGCGTTCAAACAATATTCCTCCAGCCTCCGCGACGCTCGTCATTCTTACGAACAGTAACTGAAGAGGAGCGAGTTGTTCTGTCTGCTCTCGAACGCACGGAGGCTGCAACATGAAATGATGCACGGTGATGGAAAAGATACCAACAGTATTCATTCATGTCAATGTTTATGTTCTTGTATATTGATTATTTTGTATAGAATGTATATGGAGCATGTGCATACATTTAAATCAACTTTACTACCAATATGATACAATTCAACTTCGATGTGAATGTTTTAAGCTCTGATTTTAGTCGTCTTATTTCTTTTTTTTTTATCGTCTCAGATAGTGAACGGTGCCGTGCAGCGCAAACACAGGTGCTGTTTCTAGTATTTTAATGGCTTCATCAAACCGACTGGTTTCCCAAGCAAACGATGGATGAGACATTCCGCAGGTTGTGATAAATCCCATTATTTCATCTTCTGTTCAGCAGAATGGATAGTGACTCAGTATTTGCTCAGATGAGCATATGTTACTGTGCATAAACTAGAAAAAAGAAACAAACAGCATACAAATGTAAATAAAGATGAATGACGCGTCTCCACTTCCTCCCAGTTGCACTAGAGTCTGTGCAGTTTAGGGATTTGGGGACGGAGCCATGATATCGAGGTCCTGTGTGGTAAGAACACGACAGAGACCATCTTTCAGAAAATAATGATTCGAGGTGTACTTTGACTTTTTGGTTTGTTCTATGTCCCATCCACTGACATGGAGGAGGTGGGGTTCAAGTCATGTCATCCATATTTATTTACAGTCTATGATTCAAACGTGATCAAGTTTCATCATTGGTTGTGGTGTAGAAAATAATCCAGGTGTGTTAAAAGTTAAATGAGATAAAGAACATCTGGTATCACTTTGTTTTAACCCAGTGTTCTGTATTCAGCACTTATAGACATTATACAGTCAATGAGTTAATGGTTATGTAGTTGTAAACAGATATAAATACATTTTACATACAGTTTAAGTGTTTATCAGTGTTTTAGTAACTTAAACTCCTTATATGAAGCATAGACACATTTATGAAAACCTGACAACCATTACATTCATCTGATGTAATTAGTCATTTAAAGCAATATTCATAAGAGAAATTATAACTGTTTCAAAATATATTTATAAACTTTCTGTTTACAACAACATTACAAATCATTTTGTGTATACTGCCTATACATGTTAAATTGAGTTGATAATAATAATAATATTAATAAGTGGTACCTAATAAGAAGCTTCAGAAATCTATTATTTATCTAAGTCCACGCAACAGATTTGTGTTTTCTCTATTAAAACATATGCGACTTTATAATTACATCGAGCCGAGTGCTTTCCTGGATTATTATCGCATCAATAAATTTGTCTTTCTATGGCAACAGTGACGCTACTGCTACTTTGCAATCGTTGAGACTTCCACCCCTTGATGGAAATGTTTACACGTGTGAACGCCTGCTGTCGTCAAGCGTCCTTCAACCTTCAAATCAAAACCCAGATTTCAGACAGGAGCCATTACCAGATTTCTGCTGCTGCTGTTGTTGTTGCTGATTGAAAGACTTTTGTAATATTTCTCTATCCTGTAAAAGTCACAGTTAGGTAACATGTTTCTCCGGGAATCGGTTTCTCTTTTTCCAACTCAAAAGGCAGCAAGAGGCGTAAAAGCAGCAAAGACCCAGGACTGGATATTTCACACAGACTATAAACACCTTTACTGTATGTTAGACAGTAAATATTCATCTTTGAACTCATATGATGTCATATATCCCCAACCTCGCTACGTGCAAACTGTGTATATTGTTTTTGTATATAAAGAATCATGGAAAAGCATCAGTTTTGTCATCATTTTTTTTATTAGGGCTCTCTGGGATGAAGAGGCTGTACTAGATCTGCAGAACATTTGATCATGGGGGAAAATGTGCACAAATGGTGTTTGCTCTTTAACACTGAGGCTACAAATGACTACATCCTTTCTGTTTGTGGAGACTTCAGATAATGTTTTATGTCAAAGAAGGGACTTTTCATAGATCACTCTAGCATATTAGAAAAAATGACCTTCCACGTGCCCTGATTAAAAAAAAACTGTCAAGTGTACTCAACATGATGTTCCCTTATTCCTTGAACTGAATCTTTCGAGGGTCACAATTGATCCGTCTGAATTATGCCAATTCTTTACTATTGGATGCCAGGTTGCCATGACAACAGAGATTCACGGCGCACAGGGGATGAATCCTGATGACCTCAGCGATTCTCTGAACTTTCATTTAGCGACACAGTTAGGTCAGCATGTCTGTGGATTTGAGGGAATCGTCTCATCGAGAGTCTGTTGGATTGCCGCGACACGCCCGCCCCATGGGGAAATATAACAACAATACATTACTGATGCCAACGAATACGAACCCCATTGTAGCCCCAACGTACAATTAATGTGACAAAAGCAACAACTGTAAACTTAAAACAACACTATGTATCTTAACATTTACTGCGCCCTCTGCAGCCACATGTGGTAATTCTTTCTGTTGATCTCTGTATCCAAGCAATAAAGTGTTTTTTTCGTATAGAGAAAAATAAGTTTAGAATTAGAATTCTTCATAATTTGAAAGATTAATGGTAATCTTTAATTTTTGAGATAAAATTCTAAAACATTTTTAACTGACTAAAACAGTTGAATTTGCAAATGCAGATCAATTCCAGTCACTCTATTTCCCAAACATCAATCTCATTTGGAGTTTGTGATGAGCACACACAGGACTGAGAGATGAACCTCATCATCATCATCATCATCTGTGCCATTAAAACTGCATCTTTCCAGCTCCAGTTCTTATCTTTATTCCGGATAAATGTGACCTCAGTGAAGGCTGTTTGTTTGTGGTCGCTGAGTGCATGTCTTTTTAACTAATGCCTGGGTTGCAAACATCTGAAGCTTTGAACAACTGTGTATTTATGTTCCTATGGGAGGTTTCTTTGTCATTGACCATTAAAGTATCAAATTTCAGCCCTTTCTACTCTAGTCTGCAGCTTTTAGAGAGGATGTGGGCGTAATGGAGTTTGGTCGGAAGAACACGACAAGGAAATGAGAACGAAAAAGGCTTAAAGGAGGCGAGGGTCAAGGAGAGTTGGAAGGAGGATGCAGAGGATGGCGCCGGTAGGAAATAAGCTTTGGAAACGGGTCTGACGGCTCAGACGCGATGCAGCGTGACCGCGGGCTGTGAATTAAAGTTTCTGATTTGCTTTTGATGTACGCCCACATGTCAAGTTTGCAGCCCTTTATTGATAATAGAGCAGAGGAGGATGGCAATCTGTATCATCTGGTGGGGGTATCTGAATGATGACCTCCTGGACCTCAGTGATCATAAACCTCCTGCACACACACACACACACACACACACACACACACGGTTGTGTCTGCAGGACATTACAATGACTACATTGACTGACTCAAACCTTAATCATATTGTTACTGCATATCTAACCCTAACTCTTAACTTAATCTTAACTTTGACCTTCACCTAAATCCTCACCTTGACTTTAACCTAACCCTAAACTCTCACCTTTAAACTTAAACCTTAACCTGAAGAAATAGATTTAGTTCCCCACAACATGAGCAAGACCAGGACCAAGATCACACAAACACACAGAGGTTTCCTTAATAGGACTTTGCATTGAATTCCATTCATTGTGGACAGCCAAACCAAAACATAACCACAACCATAACCAATTCATACCTAACCCTAACTTAACCCAAACACAAGTCACATCTTACCTCTAACCTCAACCACAGCCTGATGTAATCTCGTTAGGACCCAGCTTTAGTCCTCATTAGATCAGCATTTATGCTGGAGAGGTCCTAAAGAGGCAACAAAAACAAGTACACACACACTTTTCTTGTGAACACACACTCTTCCTCCCTAAATTCTCACCTTTATGTTACACGTCACCACAGCCATAATTTTCCAAGCTGACCTCTTAACCCAAACCATAAATCTAGAATAAAATCCATGATCCTGTGAGGGCTGGGGGACCTGGAGCTGGAGCCAATCCCAGCTGACATTGGGCATGTTGGACAGTTCCGTTAAACAACCAGTCCAAAAAGTTTTACAGCTGTAAAGCATATACACACACACACACACACTCACACACATTCTCTCGATCACTCTCCTTGTTAATGACGTTTCCCAGGCAGGGTGGGAATGCAGTCTTGTTGCTGGCACCGCGCCTGGAGGGCTCGGCTGTAATGCAGGTCCTCGACTCCATTTGGAAAATAGGGCTGGACATTAATCATCGGTCGATATCCTCCGAGGTTACAATAAGTGTGATTATTTGACAGTTTTTCTCTGCCCCCATCACACGTTTCATTCCACGTCTGTAATTACTCGCTCTCTTGAGTGAGAAATGATTGGTAATAAAAGATTCAATAAAACAAAGGAGGAATATTCTGAAATGAGTAATTTTCTTGTGTTTGGTGAGAAATGACTAGTGCAAGAAGCTGCTTCTGAAACAGTCACAATTTGTGATTCATGGGTTTTCATCTTCCGGAGCCATATATTATATTATTCCTCAGGATTTCTTAAAGTCATCACCTGTGTGTTTTTATCATGCATGTTTCCACAACCCCTGCTTGGCCCATGTGAACAGTTAGAGATGGAGAATGAACAAGGGAGCAGAAAGTGAACAGAGAAACAGAGGAAGTGATGAGGTTTTGCAGGAGGGGGGTGCGAGCAGCAAAACGAAAATGAGAGGGAAGCGTTCAGTGGAGTGGAAAAAATGGAAAAGAAGAGCTGCCACGGCGAGATGGATAAAACAGGTGGGTGGCATAGAAGGGCAAAGATAATTGGATTGCAGGAGCGGCCAAATCTGACGAGGGTGAATGTGCTTCTGGGACCTCCTCACCGTTTGGCTGAGATCTGTGTGTGATCAGAGGAGGGAGCAGACGTGGACGATTAGTATCAACGCAGAAAAGGCCAAATAGTTAAAAAATGCAAAAACAGAGATGCCGGTGCAGTTTCCTGTTTTAACACAGCTTTCTAATGGTCATGAGAAGGAACAGGATGATTGCTGATGGATAGACGCTGCAGGGTCATCACAGGGGGGAGGTGATGATGAGCTATAGAGTGACTCTGTGGGTGTTGGGCTGTCAGATGTTCGAGCAGGTCTCCGCTTACTGACCTCAGCACCAATGTGATGGAAGCTCGTCTTTAGAAGAGACTTTAATAGTTGAACCGATTCAAATGGAGTTGAACCTTATTTCTCTGTAGGTTTCAGCTCAAAGGGCTTTGGAAATGAAAGAAACTGTGAAATGAAGCAAGGAAAAAAGTTCAAGATGGTTATTAACGGCCCTTTTGTTTTATTTTATCTAACTTTATTTCAGACTCGATTTCAGTATGAAAATGAAATAAATAAATGATAAGAGAAAATTCTCACACCACACATTAGTTCCAGTATCTTGGGTCAGGGTGGAGTCTCAGTCAAACCTCCTCACACCTTGTTACCAAAGTGTGAATACAGTCATCTCAGGGCTTCTGTTTCTTTTTACACTGTTTCTCTCATGAACCACTTAGAGTTGCCAATAGATCCCTTTCATCTGAATCTTACACACTGAACCTTAATGTATAAAATATTCAAGCCTGTGTGTGTGTGTGTGTGTTTGTGTGTGTGTGTGTATGTGTGTGTGTGTGTGTGTGTGTGTGCTGGCAGGCAGGCAGGAAGGTCTCAGCATTTATAGTCACTGTGATGGACTCCAGAGCAAATGACCAGCAGGATGTTTCTCTTACACTGTTTTCACGCTGTTCGAAACCACCAAACACAGACATACCAGTACAGTACAGTGAAGACGTGTTTCACAAGTTAACATTCTCTCCCACCGTCCTCATCAGCATGTTCAATCTTTTTTTTTTTTAATCTCAATTGCTGGTGATTGTCTATTTACTTAACACAATCAGTTCCTTTTTTCCCCGTCCTTGGAGAAATCACTGTAAAAGAAGAACAAATTCTGTCTTCTGCAGCAGAGGGTTTTCTGAGTACTTCACTTCCTAAGAGAACATTACATGTGTTCTTGAGAGCCTATAATCAAGGAATCAAAGAGGACCGCTACAAAACGTCTTATTACCATTAAAAAAGAGTGAGCACGTCCCCACTGATGAAGCTGGAGACTGAGCAGCAGATTTCTATTTATGTGCCTGTGTCTCTGGGAGAACAAGTCAAGCAGTTTATATGTACTGTGTGTGTGTGTGTGTGTGTGTGTGTGTGTGTGTGTGTGTGTGTGTGTGTGTGTGCGTGTGGAGACACATCGATATCCCTCATGTTGTTTTCTCGCCTGACTTGGCTGCTCCATCTCAACGACTCTCACAGTGAGGACAGATGGCAAGGAGTTACCCTACTAAGAAACCCTCCCACACACACACACACACACACACACACACACACACACACACACACACACACACACACACACACACACACACAGACTTGATGCACAACACAACAACTTCCTTGGCACCCACTGACTTGTCTCTCAATCCAACAATGACTCATGCACAGCGTCCTCTCCCACCAAATGTGTGTGTGTGTGTGTGTGTGTGTGTGCGTGTGTCCGGCAGTATGCTTTGGTAAATCACCTGAAGTCAGCAAATCAAACCACAGCGCCTGCTGCTCTTTTCCAGTGACACTTCTCACTGAGGCTGCTGCCCACTTCAATCCAAACACGAGCCCTCTCTGCACTGCAGCCTCAAACACTCCATGACATCCTGAAACCAGCCGGAGGCAGTTTGCGTCATAGAAACATTTATTTTCATGACCTGTTATGTGATAAACAGAAGCTCCTGATTGAAATCCAATACAGGAAGAATTCGTTCAATTTGAGGTTTCACAGCAGTTGTCAAACCAGTTCAGCTGCTTGAGGAATTAATTTGAACACTTTGACATCTAACTGCTATAATTTGCTTTTAACATATCAAAATGTAAAGGCTGTTTTAGCTCAACCTAGCATGAACATGTAATCAGACATAATGTCAACTGCAGAAGAGACTTCACACCTTAAACACACGGCAGTGCAATAATTCACTGAGCTGATCTGTGCACTAAAATGTGTGGGTGGATGATTGGGTACGTGCAAGTGTGTGTCTGTGTGAATGTAGTGCATGTGTGAGAGACTGTGTAGGTGGACAACAGGTCCATGAATCTGTGAGGGCAAACATATCCACCAATTAAATATATAGCTTTGCAGTGTTTACATTGTGTGTATATATGCAGCTGAAAGATATTATAGAAATATCATAGCTCTGGTTTGCAGGTTTTATTTCCATTAGAAACATTTGTATTTTTATATTAACTATAACATCTAAACATTTGTTTTAGGTTCAGTTGAATGGTTGAGTTTTTAACACATATATTCATTATGCACAGCACATATTTGCTGTATCAGTTACTGTATCTAAATTTATGGTGATTATCAGTTTTTCTTTTACCCTATTTGTTTTTTTTAATATTCATTTAAAGATTTGTGTTAATTTTTAGTTCTGTATCTTGTTGCACTCAGAATGAAGCACAAATAACAGCAACAAACTGATTTCTACTGTCCATGCATATCACAGAATCTCCTTTATTCATCATGTTAATGGCACTGAACATGCAGATGGTTCCTCACTAGAGACGAGAGGTAAATAGAGGATTTAACAATCATAAATATGTGAATCGTATGCGGACGCCTTCACAACCTGACTGAACACGGCTTACAATCCCTTCTTGGACACTTCTCAAATATTTCCCAGGACAAATTCCCTTAAACCCAACACGCCCAGTTTGAGACACACATAAGGTTAATTACTGTTCCAGCACGAAGACTTTTTATAATGAGAACAAGCAGGCTTTACATAAGCTCATTTAATTAACAGAGAGGGGGGTTCAAATGTGTGAACACGGCTCTGTTGTGTGACAGTGAAAGCAGACTACACGGTCTGTTGCCTTCTGTTAATGCAGCAAAACAATATAACCCATAAGTTGTGCAACACAGACAGAATAGTTTTCAACTTTAAGAGCTGTAAGAAGGAAGTAAGCACATGTAGACAGCCGCACATAGTTTTACTACATTTATTTTGTTTTTTTTAATCTGAAGTACGCCAGTTTCTAATTTTGCACATGCTGGAAATTCAACGAGCCATGAAAGCCCTCTGATACCAATCTGATCAACGAACCATCACATATCATGTAAATAACGACGTGAACAGGCCGACAGAGAGAAAGACTGATTTTAATTAAAACAGATGTTTCTATGAAGAATACACCTCTGTTAGTTAATACAAACACAGGACCATGTACACATGTTTAACAAGGAGTTCTCTGGTGAATGTCTGAGGCTTGAAACTCTCTTTGTTTCAACTTCCCTGAAGGATGCAGAGTTGCACAAGGCAAGAAACAACACAGATCTGAGCCCGAGCGTCCTGTCAGACGTTTGAGAATCACGTTAAAAACTGAATGTCCAAGAAAAATAAACAAAACCCTGCAGAAAACCTCCCCTACAAAAGACACGACGTGGTGCACTGTGATCTACGCGTCGTCTGGCTTGTCTGCTGGAGGCCCACATGGCTGCAGCATCTTCTCCATCAGGTTGAAGCGAACACGCGCTTTGCTCTCGTTCTCAGCCACGGAGAAGTAGTTGAGCAGGTCGAAATGTCCCATGTAGGAGCAGTAGGAGTCTCGGTGCTGGTTCACCAGCCATTCCCACTTGCTGGTGTCGGCGTGTCCGGTGCCGATGTACTTGGACTGGAGATGCTCCAGCTGACTGTGGATGTTGTATCGGTCCGTCATTCTCGCTCAGGTCGGGAATCACAGACTCTCTGGATGGAGGAGAGAGAGAGAGAGAGAAAACCAATCAATCAATGGAGGAGAAGAACTAGGCTAAGTTAGCATGCTAACTGTAAACGTGAGGCGAGCTAACTGCTGCTAATCCAACAAAAGTCTCCCTGAATCGACGCCTTTCGCTAAATATAATATTATTTAGGGATCATACGACTTTCTGATATAAAACATACGTACTCGATAATAAAGTAGAGAAGAGGAGAGACAGCAGAAGTTTTTAACAACAAATCGATCCGACCGCGGTTAGCCTGTAACAGAGGAGATGTGACTTCCGGTGTGGTCCCTCTGTTAAGTAAACCGGTGGGGGAAAATGGCTGTGGCTTTTTGTTCCCCCTCTAATTCAGACGGATTGAAGTTTAATTATAAAAGAATAAAAATAATTATAACATAATAAGTGAATGTATATTAAATGAACACATTGAAGGAAAAATAAATAACATAAAATTCAACACAATGAAATTAAATGAGCTAAAGCGAGACAGCAGAAAATGATGTCTCTGTGTATCCTGGAGAGGAAAATCTTTTTGGATAAAATAGAATAAAATCTTGATGAAGCTCAGTGCAATTTTATTTTGGTGTGAATTTTATTCCTAGTAATTACCATTTAATTACTAAGCAATTTACTAATTAATTTAAATTCAATCTTCAATTTTAATTCAATTTAAGAAAAGCTCAATTAATTCATCTTAAACAGTTGAGCAGGAAGTCTGTCTGAAACTCTGAGGTTGCCAGATTTCTGTGGGTTTCCAGGTTTCTGTGGTAGGGAACACTGAGGAAAACACCTCCAGTCCTTAAAAAGCTGTTTAACATGTTAACAAACTGTTTATCTTTAGCTCATTCAGTTCGCTTTCTTTGTACGTCCCTTTGCTTTACATTAATCAGCAGCAGTTGTTGAGATATTTAACTCAGATCCTCAATTAAGAACCTCTTGGTGGCGCTGGCAGGAATGTCAGGGGATAAGAATTCATTATGAATTTACTTTGGGAAATATCATATCAATCAGTCCAATATCTGAACCAAATCTTCATGGTAATGAAATAGTAGTATAGCTGCTGAAATATATTTACATAGACCAAACTGGGAGACTGTCAGACAAACACTTGTATCCCTGGAATGGGTTAAATATAATTTCTGAAAGGTTACCAAGATGTATTGTATCTTCAGAAGTGACTTCAATATCTCACCTATGTGTTTACTGATATCACACTCTGATATCACATTCATGCTGTTTCCATGTCCAAAGATGATTTATCACTTTAAGTGTTAACAGTTTTTTTTTCTCCTGAGGGACTTTGTACAATATACTTTCATTTTCAATGGAGTTGTTTCTCCTCTTATAGCATATTAATAAAGCATGTTCATCCCCCGAGCCTTATAATGACCAGAGAGGGGCAACTGTTTTATATGGTTTACCTGAGTAAATCAAATAAACAGCCGCAATAGCAGAGTCCCATGTGTGGAATATGTTTTTATAACTAAAGTTCATTTCCACTTTCAGTCCCTTGATGGGAACAGTTTGCACAATCTGACTTGCACAAGCTCTTCTATTTTTGGATTTCAAGTTTTTGGTCAATTATTTTCTTGTTAAATGAGTTGTTATGGTTTGTTGAGCTGAGTCAACACATTGTTGTTTCTTATTAGAAACGGCAGTAGAAAGAGGGAAGCAGATGGCAGCAACCATTGTAATAGCTCACATTCACTGGGTTAGACTGCATTGACAATAGAAATACAATATGTCCGTCTGTGTGGAGTCATAAACCCCTCATACGTAAATATAATGTGGCTGACAGGTATGTTGGGAGTGGTACTGGCTTTGCTCCCTCTCGCCCACTTTAAAAGATTTACATTTGCTATTTCGTATTTTTCTAGATCTGGAGCTGTTCATAGAAAACAGATTTTTTTCCCATATGGCACACAGGGAGAAAATTGCATGAGCATAAGTTAAGACACTTCAGGGGGAAAGGGACTGAATTTTCTATAGATGTTCATGGTGGTTTTTATTTGTTCAGCCTGTGATACACTGATATAACCCAAATGGAATAAATCTGTGTCTGTGCAGTCATGCTCGGGGGATGGAGCCATGGTAGCAACAAGAAAACATCCACCATTATTTCATTGAGGTTGTGTAGGTTCACCTTCATGTATTATTTAACTTGAAAAAATGTCCCCAGAGGACAGATTTTCATTACTACTGGTTGTCTGCAAAGCTCACTGACTCTGTAGGAAAATATCTGATGAGAATAACAGGAAAGGAAGATCCGTTCTACGCTATCACACTGCAATATGGAAATCAAAGGAACAGAGATAACATTTCTGCAGGTCCTTGCAGAAACCACTGGGAGTGAGGTCATGACTGTGTCACACCTTCGCTGTTGCTGAGGCCGATACTGTCTTTGCTTCATAGCCCAAGGGATTGTGTGATTGTGATCAGTTTCCGTTCCTTCATGCTGGTGGTGTCGTGCAGCAGGTTCTGAGGGGGGGGGGCGACTGAATGTTCCAGTCCCTTGGTGTTAGAGATGCTGAATGCACAATGAGGCCAGCGGACAGTTAGAAAGATGTGGGATTTGCATTAGAATAAAGATTGAATTATATGCATGTCATTAGTCATGTAACAGGAGAAATGAGCTCTACAGTAAGAGGCCACATTATGCTTCTGCTCTCACTTATCTCCATGTGTGTGTGGTGTGTGTGTTTTATCATGGTCATTATTCACCAGCCTTTTTTTGAGTTTGACTGTTTCCATGACGAGGATTGTTTAACTTGTATTAGTAAGTGTGGATACTGCTGAGTGTTTTTAGTGAACAAGAAATGATTATGGCCTTATCTGCAATTCTAAAGAGGGAATACAAATATTACAGAAATATTATGCAGGTTCTATATTTCCCTATAAGGTCACAAAAAGGATCTGATATGAATAAATCTATGAATAATACATCTCTGGTCATAGTCCTAGCTTTTATTTTCCTTTGTGTTTATATTGTATATTTTACCTATGTTATTACCTTTAGTGTTTATTCCACTCTGCTATTACATGCAGCACTTCCCCATGGTGGAACTAATAAATACATTTCTATCCTATCATTATCTAATTCATAGGAAGGTCCCAGAAAATTATATAATTTGGTTTTAGTTATCGGGAACTGAATTGATTTTTCATTAGGGAATAATCCATTTTAAAGGAATTAGTCTTCCATAAATCTGGGAGACAAGTTAAAGTAAGGAAAGTCAAAATTGAAGTAGCAAAGACAGAGATATATTGACTTTGAAGCCCCTTTTACACTAATCTAGAAAACCCACTAACACCCACTGTCATCTGGCTCTGCAGTAGACACAGGTTTTATTGGTTCCCTGCTCCAGTCGGCAGCGATGGAAACAAAACACCTGGGTGAACATGTTCATTTCTATAGATGCTGATGCTGAACTTTTTTTAGTACAATGTTATGACCTACGTTAAACTTCCAGATGTTGTCACACAAATAGCCATGAATGTATGTTTAGATATTGTTTTTTACATTTCAGGAACCACGTGCAGCAGCAATTTTTCTTTTTATCTTTCAAAGTGAAACACTTGCATGACGGCAAGTGGAGAGAGCTTTTCAGTTTCCTTCTAATTTCCATGTAAAACAGGTATTAGACGTCTCTGGGTCCAACACTACACCACTATTCCCACAAATCAATTATTCCTTCATTAAAAGTCAAACACCCATAACTTCATCAAACCAACTTCTTACTCTTACTCATGTGCGAAATAGGGCGAGTGCCCCTTTAAGACCAATGAGAAGAATGATCTCCCTGTTTTCTTCTTAAGGTTCTTCTTTTTCAGCTCAGGTTCATTGTTACACAAAGTGTACACATATTGAAGGAAAACCTTGTCATCGGAAAGTGGATCATCTTTGCGAACCAGGTACCGTGGATGTTTTCTTTGTAAAATCCACCTCGTGACATCCTTCAAGGACTGTGGAAGATGCTCACAGGTTTATGAAGTGCTCAGGGTTACTAAGACTTCGATTTACTGTTCATTTTTCCCTGCATTTATTTAGTTTTTGTTCAAAAAACAGATGCATTTTTATCTCACTTTTGCAGGGGTGTGATTATTCAACTGTGGGTTAGGCCAATGTGTTAGCGAGCAATCTTGGGAACTGCAAAGCAAAGCACAGGAAAGGAGGGAGGGTAATGAAATCAGGGGGATGGATGGGGATATAACCTGACTGGATGGCTCCTGTGCCTCACAGTCCCGCTGAGTGATAGCCTAGTAAAAAAAGAATTGAGTAAGTGATACTTTAGACCAACTGTGTAAGATGGAGCATGTCACCCACTGCCAGAGGCAGACAGAGAGAAGACGTAAAAAAACAACTGCACCCTGTAGGGCTGTTGCAGCAGAGGCTGGTCAGTTGACGGACAAATCGAGGTGGCTCATTGGCCAGCTGACAAACTGCTGACTTTTGCTCTCTGGCTACTTTATCGACAGATGAATTCATGAGATGGACGACAGGTTTGCAGGACTCAGAGATCAGTCCCGTGCTGAAGCACAACCTCGGCCCCACTGCTGGTTTGCTCTCCTGGATTTACTCATGTCCGTTTACTCGGGACAATCCATGAGTTTCATTTCCCCGTCACACCTGAGACTCTCTCTCCAGCGTGCACGCCTCTTTACTCTCCTGAAGTGCAGCAAATCATGACAGGAAAATGCAATGTTCCTCTTGGTTAAATCATGACAGCCGCTCAGCCATTTATCTGGGTGTGAAATAGCTTGAGGAAACGACAGCCCTGTGCTGAGTAGCTGGAGTATCAAGGCCCAGAGGACTTAAATCGGATTTGGCACGGCTCTGAGCACACAATCTCACTTTTCCTCGCTCCTGTTTTCGGAAATCATAAAGGATTTATGTCTATTTGCTGTTAAAAAACTAATTAATTTCCCCGCTGATCGCATGCCGTGATCTCTCAACCTATCACAGCTTTGGTTATAAGTTCCAGGACGCTGGTAGTGGCAAAGATTACACAAGTTTCTGTGGAGCCCTCACAGCAGAACCACACTGTGCAGAATGAATAAACAGATACATCACACAGGCTACATCCACACTACTACATCCACACCACTACGTCCATACTACAGCAGAGTTTTTAAGTTTGGAAATGCTGATGGTCCATTTTTAGTCTGGACGCACAGAAGCAGAGATGTTAGGAAACTATGATGCAAACTCTCACAACTTCTTGCTAATCGGGTCGTTTCAGTCACGATGTAGCCTTCCCTGATTCGTCCTGTCACATACCTGAGTAGAATGCAACATGGATGATCTATTATAAGCGTTGCTGACAATGTTGTTACATAGGAGACAAGCCATTATTCAGGCAATCTGCAGCCAACAACCAAAACTTTCCTGTTTACATCACCACATGCACGCCCAGTGTGCACGTGTGGTCACATGTTCTGCGTTTCCAGGCGTGTGATCATCAACAAAATGTTCTTCATTGTTTTCATAGGGACCCTAATTTTTCTCCTAAAGACCTTTGAAATGTAAGGTCGGGTTTGGATGAGTGAGAGCTGAATTTCAGCCAAGGAGAGTTTGATCATAATCATCATGACAGGACCGATCATGCTGCCAACTCCAATAAGAATAATGCCTGGCTTCTCAACGGTCCCTTACATGACAGGGCACAGTTAAAGGCATGTACGCAGACATACGTGCCACAAACACGCCTACGCTCTTCTGAGACTGTGCTGACCAAGATTTCAGGCGTGTAGGTGGTTGTTCCTTCACATTCTCTGTTAGTTTTCCGAGTCATTTTTTAGCCTTTCCCCAAGAGGGAAAGGGCCAAAGGAAAAAAAGCGAAATAACCATCACACCTTCCATTTATTGACCATAAAGCATCTCACGCCTCAATGGTTCAATGCACGTTCTGTGAGGTCAGGGCAGGTGGAATGTTTTACCTGTCTACGCACAGGGGAGGAGTTTTTATGTAGGTCTGTGTGCATTCAACCAAAAACGCGTTTGTTGAGACATAGACTGTCTATAAAGATACTACGTCAGTGAGAGAAAGTGAAACTGGTACAGTGTGATTTACCAGGACAGTGAGCTTGTAGTCCACACACACACACACACGTTTGTACTAGTGAGGACGCTCATTGGCATAATTCATACCCTAGCCTCTTACCCTAACCATCCAAACTAAATGCCTAACCCTTAATCTAACCTAATTCTAACCCTAACCCTAAAACCAAGTCTTAATCCCCAAACAGTCTATTAAAGGGGGAGTGACAAAGTGAGGACTGTCCAAAATGTCCTCACTTTCCCAAAAATCCACTCCTCACTCCATGGGTTGCAGGCTCAAGCTGGTCTTCACAAAGATAGCTGTACAAGAGCACACACACACACACACACACATTTTATGGCTGAAAAATGAGGATCAGTAACAGTCACAATAATCATAATCCATTTTTTTTTACATTAGCATCATCATTTGGGATTAAATTACAATTCTGGGAGTAGGACTAATGATTGATGGGTAAAAATTCCCAGATCTCTGAGTGCACAGAGAAGACGAGGCTGGAAATGGACCTGTACGTATTTGAAAGAGGAGCCGACCACAGTGTACATGATACTTTATTCAGATGCAAGAAAACATCATACAGTGAGATTCAGATTTACATTTGATTCCATAGACAATGCACTGATGAACAGTAACATTAGACGCATTATGTTACAGCGTGTCATTCATGAAGTACAAATTATCCTCTGTACATAAGATTCCAAGAAGTGCTGCTCAAGATAATAAGATAAGTATAAGTACAGCAGCATCATGGGCAGATCAGGGACAACATCAGATTCACTTTATAGAAATGTACCTTTAAGTTAAGAGTCTATTCTGTGTCACTTGCTGCACAATGTGTTTTAATGGTGCATATCACATTAATACCTAATGTCCTCTTCGGTGTTGGACAGTTGTGCCAATTCAGGGGCTGCGTCCTTCTGTGTAGTCGACCTATGGACTGTGGGCCACCAGCTTGTCCTGCTCTTACGCTGGACTCACACATGCACATTGCATTAACGGTCGTGATGAGCACCAAGCATGACGGTCGGTGCCGAGGCGATTGTCAGTTTCATGCTTGGGACACGCAACATGCTAACCTGCCAAACAAACTATCAATCCGATGCTAAACAGTAGAACACAGGGAATAAAATCCGTAAGCAGAAGAAAACACCTCTGGTTCACCAGCTGACTAGAACAGGTGATTGAGAGATTGTTTGAACACGAGTTGATTGACTCGCGCCTCCGTTGCCGCATGAAAAGTTTAGCTGTGTTCAACTTGTGCCAGTGCAATGTAATGCAATGGCACTGACTGTAGCTGCACTCGCTGCTGCATAATGAAGGTTAAGAAGCCCATTTTTTGAATTCATTCAATACCCACACATTAATTTTCTCTGCACACTTGACGCATCATCTCGATACCAAGGGAATTATATCTGTGAAGAATAAACACTCGAGCATAGTGACACTACACTCAGTCACACACGTGCAAAATATTTTATTTCTTCTCTTCATTCCCAAATCTATTCTGTGCATGAAGGTGACATTAATGCTCCAAACAGCTTAATGCTTCAGTTATTTTTGTGATAGATATTTTTTTTAATAACACAATTTGGCCAATAACAGTTTATTCTTTCATTGTGGCTGGTGGCCCGACTGAAAACAATAACAATTTATTTTATATTATTTAAAAATTGACTGCATTTACAGTGTGGCATCATTATCCATCCTTCTTTAGTCAAAAAACAAATTGTTTTCTGATGAATATTCGACCCCTCAGTTAAAACAGGGGAGATTCATATTTAGAAGCACACAGACTTGCTGGTCCACTTTCTGACGATTTGTTGATGCAACATCTTTTAAGAAAATCAACACAATACTTACAGTATTTTACATGGGAGATTAATACAATCATGTTCATATTTACAGATCTTTAGAAAAAAAATACTGGTGCACAGAATATCAAGTAGAGCTCCCGATGAAGGCAACCGGCAAGTAGAGCACACAGCACAACACGTAAGCACAAGCAATTTAACAGATTACGACATACAATCCTGCTTGGCTCATTTGTTAAATACTCCAGAGAAATGACTCCATTTACACCCATAACCTCTGTAATGGCTGTTATGCCGTCGTTGATCATATACTGTACATTTAGTACCATATGTTCACTCTATAGGATCCAACAGCTGTGCAAACAGAACCACGTGTCTTCTTTTTTGCTGATTTGAAGGACCCACAGTTCAGCACAAGGATCCAGAGTGAAAAACAATAACAGGTTTCTCTTCTGTACATTCAGGAAGTTCAGCAGGGAGAACATTCAGCGCTCCACTGTACGACAACTTACTGGTGAGTCGAGCAACAGGGGAGAAACGTATTTACAAAGACGGAATGGAAAGGAAAGGAACAAGATGGGGGAGAGCAATAAATGGCAACAAAGGGTTAGAGTGGTTTGAGGGGAGAGAACTGTGCACTGTCAATCCTCCTCAAGTGCCCAACACCAGCGTTGTACTGTGACGATAAATCAATGTGTGAATGCTGGATGGTAAAAATCCATACACACACAGGATGAAAAGCACAGCTGGTGCCGTGAACGACATCGACAACGTCCCCTGCGTCCACTAATGCCTTCATGTGGTGACAGCCTTTAAACCTTTGTCCTCTCAAATACATGTGAATGATTCAAGAAGAAAACAAGAGGAGGAAATGTGACAGACGGGCACAAAGGCGTATGAAATCTGCAAACACAAGATAATTCATTGATTTTTTTTTCTTTTTTCTTTTTTTATGGCCGGGACAATTAGTGATAAGATGAGGGTCGGGACGGGAGGATTGGCTCAATGAGCTCTGCAGACAGACGAGAACGACACAACATTAGAGGCCTGTGAACGTGGCTTTTATAGATCGGTCTATACATCTCTCTGTACATACTGCACTCTGTCTGTATGGTCTGATGATAATGAAGAAACAATGAAGATTTTAGTGGCGTTAATGCACGATGTAGTGCAACAATGAGGAGGACATGGTGTTGAATGGATTCTTTATTTTCCGTTTAGTCGAGTTTGAGCCTTGTGTCTTTTCTGTTATCGGTGAAAGCTTTACACAGCCATGCAGGTAGTGCTGTAGTTAAGCTCGCAGCACGTCGACAAAAATTGCCTGTGCCATCGATTCTCAGTCATGTCCTGGATTGTGTGTTTCATGTGTGTGTCTACGTGTCTGTGGTCAGAGCCCTATGGTGACCTGCGTGACCTCAGAGTTGAGATCGTCGTTGGTAACGCTGCCACAGCAGCGAGAGTCCACCGACGACCCCTCCAAGGCTAGTCATACCTGCAGGGAGAGGAGTTACAAAAGGTGAAAGAATGTTATGCTCACCCAGCCGTGAGGATAAGCGGTATAGATCATGGATGGATCATGTTTATGTAATATTGCGTCCAGTGTACTCAATGTAAAACCTATAATCATTGCCTGCCCATAGTCGTTCTCTTTACTGAAACACAAACTAGTGAAACTTTTTTTGACATATGAAGTCTGTGTGGTAAATATGAAGCTACAGCCTCTGGTTACATCCAGCAGCACCTCTCATCTCACCTCCTTTACATCTCTACAAAAACAAAAGGGGTAATTTGTGGTATGATGGGTTGTGTGTCCACAATCATGGGCTGCATCCTTCAGAGGCACAGTTTGAAAAATGATTGCGCTGAGACTGTGGCGTCTCATTTTGAAAGCTCCTTCAAAAGTGTCCTTCAGTAAGCAGGTGAATTCGTCTTGGGCCAGCCTATCATCACACACCGATGACAAATCTATTGAGCTAGTTATGTGGGTGGCATCCTCCAATGGGTGGATCCTTCTTGGATCAACCTTTCCCAGGATTCATTGTGTGTGGGTGAGGAAGCTTGCGAGCTGGCTATGTGGGTGGCAGAGCTGCAGAAAGTGCAGCCGCTCGAAATAACCAATGATGCGGTGGTAAGAGCAGGAAAAGATCGTGGTCAAAATTGAGTTCTCTGCAGACCAAACCGTTTAGTTATGGCGCAGTCTACGTCAAGTACTCCGACGCATGTGGCCCCTGACTTTTGCTTCTTGACCAGATGGAGTCTCCGTGGGTAACCTGGCAACCTCAAGATTTAGGCTGGGCTAACTAGTTGCTGAATGTAGCTACATATTTACTTTGAGAATGGAACCGCTGGTCAAATTATTTACTGTACTGGTAACAACACACACAGACACTGACTACCTGCTGATTGGACCTTTCTCCTGTGTTTCCACTGTTGTGTTCACGCTGTGGGAGCTTGCGGCTGGTGACTCCAGTCCGGGATGAGGTCTGCATCTCTAACACAGACGGACTCGGGGTGCAGAACTCACGGAAACAACGCTTGAAGTTCTCATCCAGGTAGCCATAAAGAACGGGGTTCAGACTACTGCAGGGTGCAAAAAAAGAAAGGTCATAACACTTCAAAACTTTACATCCTAGTCAACAAACAAGTACGAACACATCAAAATCATCAAAAAGTCAATACCCAGCAGATTGTCACCATATCTCTGGAGGTGATGTTTTCACCCTCGTCTGTTTGTTGGTTTGTAGATTAACAAAAACAACCAAATATATTTCTACATGCCTTGTGGTTGGCTCAGGGAAGACCCCATTCAATTTTGGTGCTTATCTGGATCATGGGGCTGATCCAGGAATATTTTTTCACTTTCTTTAATATTGTGAGATGGGGCATTTTTCAACATTTTGTGCGGCTTGATTGAATTGAAGGGGACTATTTTGTGTGGATGTTAGGCTAGAACTTCTACCGTCTACCGGGTGCATACCTGTTGGTGTACCCCAGGGCGATGCAGAAGTGCCAGGTGATAGTCTGCAGCGTGGAGCTGGGGATGTTGATGAGAGCGCTGATGATGACAAAGATATGAATGGGCGTCCAGCAGATGATGAAGACGGCAACCACCACCAGGACCATGCGTGTGATCCGACGCAGGTTCCTGTCCTTCTCCTGCATGTGAAGGAGGTAAGTGGTTTAGTGGCCGAGGATAAGTGGAACGAGGGTTGGAGAAAAACAGGAAGAAGCACAAGGGGAACAAAAGCAGGAGAGGGAGATGTAGATAGTAATCCCTGAAATAGGAGAGAGAAGAAGTACAAATGGTGAAGGAGGACTGGAAAAGGGCAGATGAATTAGAGAATGCATGGGGGAGGAAGAGTGAAAGATTGGGAGAAAAGGGTTGTGGATAGACGGGAGAGGTATTATAAGAGAGAAAGGCATAAAAAAGAGAAAAAGAATGATGAAAGGGAAGAAAAGTGGTTGAGAAAAGTGCTACTGGTAGTTGAAAAGCAGAATAGGAACAAATCACACCCAGATTAACTTTGATTTTCCATTTGTATCTAATGTACATTATGTATGCACATTATGATAAAACCTCTTTATAGAAAGTCGATTGTTGCAGCCGGCGTTTGCAAGATTTTTCCCAGATACTGAAGGTAAATAATTGTTGTTGGGTCGTTTCTTCTTCTACTGCAAATAATTAAAATGGAGTCACGGCCTCAGGCTAACGGTGATTTTCTCCTAATTGGTTTCTCTTAAGAGAAATGAGGGCTTCGTATTTGCTTACTTAATGCTTGCGTTCAAAAACTCCAAATTGCAACTAATTAAAAGCCTGATAGCATTAAATGTAGAAATGAACTTGCTACATAAACTAATTCTGGCTCATATTTGTTAAAGGAAAAATGATATTTTTCTTAACCTGTGAGCCTGACAGCATGCGCACACTCTTGAGCCGCAGGATCATGAGGCCGTAGCAGACAGTGATGATGAGGACGGGCATGATGAAGGCAAAGATGAAGACGCAGATCTTCAGCAGGGTGTCCCAGTACCAGGAGGGATGGGGGAAAATCAGCTTGCAGTCCACAACATTGGAGGCTGTGCAGGATGAGGAGACACACACACACATACTGTTCATGGTCATAGGTTAACAGAGACACAAAGCCCCAGTACATGCACACAAGTAATTTCATCTTTGCTACATCTGCCAAGATCCTTTTTTTAGCCGTCTATTTGTTTATTTGTTTTTCAGCAGGATTACGCAAAAACTATTGAACGGATTTTCCACAAAATCTTGATGGAAGGACGGGACATGAGCCAAGAAAGAAGCCATTACATTTTGGCGCAGAGCTCGATGAAAGCTTTTGACATTTTCACTAATTTCCCAGGGAATAATTAACGGTTCTTGATGAACAACATTGAGGGAACTGAGTGTGGGAAATGTGTTGCAGCTTGATTGATTCTAAGAGAACGGTCGGGCCTTGGCGAAGGTATGAGCTCTTCTGGATGCCACTCTAGTTCTCTCTAGTTTCACTCGACTCACGTCTGTAGTGTACTTGATTTGTCTGAAATGTGTTTAATCTAGTTGTATATGAAGGAATCAAATGTAGTTTTTTTCAGTAACAGCAGTATTTAGGGTAAAAGGGTAATAGTATGTAAATGTCCCTTGAGTGTTCACTTGAGTGTTAGATTTCCAAAAATGTATGTGCCACATTTTTCTAAAGACTAACCAAGAACCGTCCCACTTAAAATGCATAGACCTTAAATGTATAATATCCCTAAAGTGGCGAGCAACTCCCATGGAATTAAATTATTTGGTGTACTACTGCCTCGTGCTTAAGATTTTGACTTTGAAACAGCATTTGTTGCCTGTCACTTCCCATTTCTCTCCTCTCGTTTTGTGCCATCTCCTTTCTCTTCAAATCTCTAATAAAGGAACAAAATTTCCCCAAAGACACCACGGTTATATCGTCCCACTAATGCACAAAGTGGTGCTTATTATAAATGTATTTGATCTGTTGGTGCAGTTAACCCTGTTTGGAACTCGTAAATTCCATCAATTGAGATAATAATTTTTTTCTCTTTCCTTCAGGCAAGCATGTACAGTTATTTAGTGCAATTACATAGGAAAACAATTCTGGCTTTTCTAATTTTACGGAGCCTGCTGGAGTTACTTAATTGCCCTTTAAAGCTAGAATGTAAAGACTGAACTCCATTTATTCTCTTACTGTTTTGTGTCATAGTTGTTGCTGAACATATCGTCGACCATGGATTAAAAAAAGAAATGAATGCTTCTCACCACCCTCCTAGTTCAGTTCTATTATTCTTGATTGCTCCTTCAGTGAATGCTTCCAGGAAGCGCTAATAATGTATTTTTTTATTCTCTGTCATTATCATAAAGAATATTAAATATGTATAATTACACATAAATTGCTGAAGGTTTAGAGAACTTTCTACAGCATCCGAACACAATCGCTCTATTTATAATGCAAGCACTTCAGTGTTTGGAAAGTGGTACAAAGCAGCTAATCAGGAATAATGAACCTTGTGTTTCTTTGTGCTTACAAATGTGGGCGGTAGTGGCCATGATCATGACAGGCAACCCGATGGCCGAGGAGAGAATCCAGTTGCAGACATTGACGATCTTGGCGTTGCGGGGCGTCCTGAAGTCCAGCGCTTTTACCGGGTGGCACACAGCGACGTAGCGGTCTATGCTCATGGTGGTGAGCGTGAAGATGGAGGTGAACATGTTGTAGTAGTCGATGGACATCACCATCTTGCACAGCATGTCCCCAAACGGCCACGTCCCCATCAGGTAGTTGACACTTTGGAACGGTAGAGTGCTGGTGACCAAGGCGTCGGCCAGAGCGAGATTGAAGATGTAGATGTTAGTGGCTGTCTTCATTTTAGTGTATCTGCACAGAAGGAATGGATTTTTTAGGAGACAATTAGAACCCGGTCAAAAATTCATGACAAGAAGAGGGAGAAGCTAATGGTGAAAGAAACGAGCAGATTCAGTTCATTTTGAAAGGTTTATTTCAAGATTCACATTTTTGATTAAGCGTGAGTCTCTCCTCTGATTCCAATCTTCTAGTTATATGAGAACATTCACCACTTCCTGCAAAATGTATGCTAAAGCAAAATGGCATTTTGAAACAATCTTCCTTGAGTCCTTACCACATAATGGGATTTTGATACCGCCGCTTTTTTCAAAGGATTATGTCCCTTTTATGCGTTGAGAATACTCTGCCAATGTCTAAGCTAAATGAACATTTTAAAAACCTCACTGGATTATATAAAAAATGCATTTTCACCAAGCTGAAAATCTGGCTGTTCTTACACATGAAAAGTTGGAAGTAAATGTACATACAGAGTATCCTGGGATGCTTTGTGAATAATTCAGGTCCCTTGTGTCATAAATAGGGACATTTTGTAATAGAAAAGTTCTGGTTAAATAAGCCCTTATAGTTCAATTTAAGGAGCTGCCCACAGTGCTAAACCCCAGGAGATATCATGCAGAAATTAATTTCCTTAGGCTTTGCTGCAGAGCAAATAATGTACATCTTTTTGCACTAATGTTGATTAAATGACTTCAATTTATTAGTGTATTTTCCAAGGTCTGTACACTCTGAGGTTTTGTGTATCATTCTGTATTCCAAGGGTTTGTTTGAAAAGCAGACCTTTTGAAACCTGAGGGGACATAAACTTGCTTCGAACAAAATCCTCTATTAAACTTTCACATATAAATACTGTCTTCAAGTAGCGTTTTTTTTCTCATCTGAATGAAGCATAATCATGAGATATGGAGGATGGTCCCTTTTCTAGTGAACAACAAAAACATCCTTTATTCTGTCGATATGATGGAGGAACAAGAGGTAGTTCAAAGGGAGTGGAGGACCGTGGAGTGTTTACAGAAAACAGAAATGGATCCATAGAACAGAGATAGCACAGAGAGAAGAGGATGGAACACAGACGATTGAAATGGCTCGACTGTTTAGAACTCTTGTCAGGGAAGAAATATACTGTGTTTAGCGTTTGCTGTGACAATAGTCATAATCCTGTTATTAATCATGTATCGAGTTATGGTGAACATTTCAAGGCGGCACCAGCGTGCATGTGTATAATCCAGTTTACCATCGTTCCTTCCAAGGAGTCCGCCATGTTGCAATCCTACAGCGGATCAGAATGGAAAAACCACGTTGGCTCAACATTTATATCTGAGGGTAACATAAAAACCCACCACAGGTTCCGCTACAAGTTTGGAAAGGGAGGTTAAACTACATATGTTAGCATAGTATCAACTTTTTTGTCTAACTCTACCAGAAAGTGAAAAAAAACACATTTTCAAAAAATTGTGTAACTAGTCCTTTAATTTAATTTCCACACGGTGATTGCTCTGTTGCTGCACTGCTCTTTTCAAAAACTACTTAGACACATCCCTGCTGTAATGTTATTTAATTCACCTGGATTCATAATGTGACAATGATACATAACACCCAGTGGCCTTCACTTTATTAAACCCAAACTGTCACTCCACCACAGAGGCAATTTACTCCTGTTCTGTTCTAGCCCTCTCCTCAATAATCTCAAATCCTCTTAACAACCACAGATGACGGTTACTTCATTAAATTCTGATTAACTTGAACACTGACAGCTTAGTGGGTTTGTTGTTTCAGGCTTTATTTGCACGGGGACCAACGAGACACCTCGAGATGCAGTATAAGCTGTCACCCTACACTGAGGGCTCTGCAGGTAATTTCCAACATCCCCTTATTGACTTTGAGACTGTCTGCGGATGATAGCTCGTGCTTCTGCTGTATACGTCTGAGGCCTGTTTACGTACAGCCTGCTGTGTGGAGGTGTGCGGCCTCATTTAATCTACACTAATTCACTTAGCTGTTTTATTTATTTCCCAGCTTTCATTTATTCTTTGCCCTTGAAGTTCCATCCAACCGATCCTTCATTGTGATTATTTCTTGATTATATTATGTTGATTATATTTCTTTGTACTCTCCATTTATGAATTTATGAAACCTGAAGCATTTCTAAATATACAGTACATATACAGTAGAATTGATCATTTGAGGCAGCCTTTGGCACTTTAATCACATAATAATACAAACTTTATATCTAGAGCATTTATTTAAACAAGGTTACAAAGTGCTTCACCAAATACTTGGGAAGATAACATCACAGAACAAAACACTACAAAAAAAGAAAGATAAAATGAAGAAAACAAACAACATTGATAAAGATCTGGCATTAAAAGGCTTTCATATAATAATATGCTTTAGGGAATGATTTAAAAAACAGGTCAGGTGCTTGCAAGTCTTTAGGAAGTCCTTGGAGAGGTGGGAAATGCTGGATGCTGGATAAAGAGCGAGCAGCAGCCTCCTGCAGTAGATGAAGCCGAGACACTTGTTGAAGCTTAGTTAAATAGTTGATGTTGTTCCAGTGTCTGTGAGTTGAAGCTTTTTAGTTGTTGTTCTTTAAAGGAAAATGTACTGTAATTGCTGCCTCAATGACTTTTTAGAAGAAAGGAAGTGTGTCATTACCTTTTCTAAGAGGAAGCAGTAAATGGACTGTATTCAATGGTTATTTTCCAGTCTTATCAACCATTCATCGTGCTTTTCAGAGCAAGTCGCATTCACCTATTCACACACACAATACAGCACTTATTAGCAGTGCTTTTTACTATCACACATCATTCACACGCTGTCTCACAGCCGTCAGGAGCCACTGGACGTTCAGTATCTTGCCCAAGGACACTTCAGAATGCAGACCTGCTTCATAGATGACCATCCTCTCTTACACCACAGCTGTCCATGTGGTAACACCACTTTCAATCAGCAGACCAGGTCATATTCACTTTGGCTCAGGTTAGGAAAAAGGTTTTTCATTGAATGTCTCTTGTGTAAACACTTTTTGTTTGGTGCTTAAAGAAAAGTGATAATATTATATTATAGCTGTGCCTGGTGTTATATTAATTAACAACAACAAGATGAATTAAACACATGAATACATTAATAAAAAGTGTAAAAGGAATTGTTATGACAGCAGCAATTATTTGAAGCATTGTTCATAAAACAGATACAGATGTCCTGAGAATGGCTTCTCGTTTGGGATAAACATCCCTGATAATGAAACAAAAGCTTTGTTGATGTAAGATAAGAGAACTGTCCGGTTTCATGTCATAAAAAAATTAATGAATCCATCAAGTATCCACAGAGAGGCTGGATTCAATACCAGCTCACACTGAGCGAGAGGCAGGGACCCTGGTACCCCGAAACCTAACCTTCACATCTCTAGACTGTTGGAAGAAAACAGAGCACGAGCAACATGAGGAATGGCAAACCCAGAAAAGCCATAACACAAAAAAAAAATATTTACAGCAAACTGTCAGGGTTTATTCAAAAGATGAAAAATTGTCTGCGAAGTCACAGCAAAACCAGACAGACGTAACCATCTGCAAAGAGAAAAACTTCATTCGAATAAACAGCACTTGATGACAGAAAATTGTTCCATCTGCTTCTAAACTGCTTGGACCTTGCCTGAACCACTGGAGCACAGAGGCGGCAGATAAAGTATGTGCAGTAATGGACCTTAAAATCATCCAAAACAGTCCTCTCAGTGAAATCGTGTATAATTCATAGCCTTCCACCAACCCATTAGATGTGGTTTCTACCTTGGGGAGGTGGGGTGGGGAGGTGGAGGAGAGCGAGGTCTTCTCATTTCTCCTTTTGTCCTCATCAGTTTTATTTCTTTTTTAATGTGTGAGAAAAACACATTTGGTAACAGCGGTAAATCATCCCTGAGACGATTCTGAAGAGAAAGAGCCCAGAGCCCAGAGTCCCCAGAAAGGGACAAAACCGTCAATGTATCTTCAGCGAGGTCGTCAAGGACGCGTCAATCAAAATCATTAATAATCAATTTGACAGACACAAAACTGTAGCAAGAGTATTAATTCCCTCATTTGAATACATCTCCATGAAAAACTGAAGGACTGATGAGAATTGATTATTTTAATATTCTATGATATACACAAATTCTATGGTGTTAAATGCGGCCATGGGGCTAAAGAATAATTATAATAAAAGCTCTTACATCCACATACATACAAGTTATAGAGGGAGGAAATTACAATACCTCTGGCCTGGATCACTAATAAGCATAATATGTTACTGAAACTAATGTAGTTACAGAAGCAGCACTTTCAGTGGGGATTATTCTCTTGATTAAGAAAACTCAGGTTGTCAGTACAAGCTTCACATTACGACTCATAGTATGTTATATTTTAAAGTGCCCTCTAGTAGCCGTAGTAAAAATGACAAGGCAAAAGGGAAGTGAATTGGAAATCACAGTTTCCGCGTCAACCAGACTGCCGGGGTCTGCTATGGTCCTCTTGATGTAAATGTTGTCATCCACCCATGTCCACTAGGATTTGCACGGACCCGGGTGCGGAGGTCCACTTGCAGCCAAACATTTGCGACCGTGGTACTCAGTCCTCGAACCAAACGTCACAGCAAACCCCTCCAAAAAACGCGGTGATAACTCTTACCAAGTAATTGTCTCTCTGACTTCCTCATTAAATCCAAAACTGCGGTGCTGTTATTCTGCCACACAAACCTAAACCCAAAACACACAATAAGTGTCCCAAGTGTTCTCTGTCTCAGTGACAAACCAGTCGAACCCCAGCTGCTCTATAACAAAGGACCGAGAGTGATACAATTATTTCTGGCCACAAATAATGTGCAAACCAGGTTTCCCTCTGTTTTGACTGAAGAAACATTGCGCCTGTGACTGAGGCGTGACTATGAGATGACAAGGCGAGGGAGAAAAAGCATTCTGTCCACACAACCTGTTTTCTCTTTTTGAAAATTGTACAGTGCTTGAAGCCACTCTAATGTGCCTGAAT